TCTGAATCGATAAAATAAGTCTAAAATATTAACATATGGTGACTCAGTATTTGTTTTATTGCTTAACGCAATATTTCAGCTTCATGACGGCGGTCTGTAAATAATCGAGTCTGGACCAGACAATCCAGTGATTGACATCATGTGCATCGATCCACGCAACTGGGATCGATGACATGCATCAACCAAGTCAGCGAGTCTCAATAATTTGACATACATCTCGGGTAATCTGTAGGGTACGTTCCGATTAATAGTCCAACATGCCTGCTATCATTGCCCCATGAGGACTCCGGGGAAAAAAGAATATATTTATTATGAAAACAAAACCAATCACCCAATCCCCCCTCTTTTGAAAGTCACTTTGGGTAGCGTCAAATTGTTCATGTGCGTCACGGACAAGTTGTCTGGGGTTGTTATGTTTGTTCAGACCGCCTCTGTGATCTTGTGGTAGAGCGTCCGCCCGGAGAGCGGACGGTCCGGGGTTCGATCCCCGGCCGCGTCATACAAAAAGACGTTAAAAGATGGTACTTGTTGTTACCCTGTCTGGCGCTCGGCATTAAGGGGCTAAAACAAGGACTGGTCGGCTCGGAGTCAGTATACTGTGTCTGAGTGGGGTAGTCATGTTAAACTGCAGCATGGTATCTCAGTGAGCTAGCACTATAAATCGGTTTCAGTCTGGACTAGTACAAGCAGCCACACAAACACACACACGTACATGCACGTCGCTATTATATATGCACTTATAGTGCAATAATCTTGGACGCGACGTTACACCCCATTTCGATCACCTCACCTCACCTCACCTCACCTCACCTATGTTTGTTCAAGTTAGTGATGCAACTTGACCACACATCGCCACTGTCACAGTTGCTGAAACTGGTTAGCTCATACGAAATCTTATACTCCTATTATGCTAGATCATGGGATGATAGTGAGCGTGTGTTGTTTTACGCCGTCTACACCAGCTGCCTCACAGCGGCCTGTGAAAATGTATATGTTTTTGGTTTTTTTGCGACTGAATATTTTTAGACAGCGCTCCAAAACATACATTTTTTTCCCTTGGAAAGCAGAAGCCGACAAAATAAAAAAGGTTCAGACAATCTTGCATGATTGGTGAGCGATTTATCGTCGGATCATGGGTTTTCGGAAATCATATGTTTCCGGACGGCCATGTTTATCGCAATTATTCCCGCTATCAAAAAGGGTGTGGCATCACACAGACATTGTAAATACCCCGAGGATGGTTTGTTTTTTAGAAAAGGTTTTCTTTGAAGTGAGTGAGATGTTTTACAGTTGTTTATGTGATTATCGAGAAAACTACCAATGTCCGAAAACCCATAACACGATGATACTTGTAATAATCACACGGTAAATTTGTTGATAATAATTAATGCAAAAGATGTATACCAATAATTGTATCCACTGCACTATGCATGTGAATGAACGACATCTTTAATTTTATCGGGGTATGAAGATTCCGATCAGCAATGCACTGCCATCATTATGTTAATGGTAATCGGTCGTTCAGATAATAGTACATGGGCACAAAACCAATCGGAACATCATTGTCGAACATTATCGGTGCTAGCTGTATTTTCGAGAACCGATTCAAAATTTGGGAACACATTTTACATACGAGGTAAGTGCGGTGCGACTCTCGCAAACCCAATTTGATTAAATAAGATTACAATCGACTTGAATAGGAACGTGATAAAATTCCCCTACTGCAGGCAACGCATCATTTTGCCTTATCAATAATTCCACATAATCCTTGACGTTATCCATTGCGAGAACACTACCCGAAAACACAATGACATTCGAACAAACACATTGAACGTAAATTGTCGAGATATTTCTGAATGAAAAACCCGTCGACTGCGCGGAATGCGGATTGTGTATCAAATTTGACAATATTTACTATTGTCGTTGTAGATTTAAAGGTAAACAGTTGGTCATTGTACATGGAGAAATGATTGCCATCCTATCCGAATGGTGTTACATATTATTTTCTAGCCTTGTAGCATCACCAGAGTTGCGGGACCGAATGTTTCTTCACCCTGTAATCACTGCACTTCCGTGGTTGTGCAAGAAGTTACTCCCCTTTTTAGGAAATCTCTTGCGCTCATTTTATTAACGCTTTGTTAAGTTTTTTTATATTTACGTTGTCACATGATTATTGTTAATTTCAACATACATTTCACATGTGAGTAACTAATATTCACGAACATTTAGAGTTCTAAATTACTTTGGATTAATTTGTTGGCTGCTCGTGCTTTTGTCACTTGGTTGTATGGTCTAAATACAGGACCAAAATAGTTAAAAGATGGGGGCCAAAGATGGCATGTGTTTCATGTTGTTGCCCTGCCTAGCTGTCGGCATAAGATTATAAAACAAGGACAGGTCAGCTTGGAGTCTGTATAGCTGAGTGTGTTGTTCTCGACCTTGGTACCATTGATATGTACCTGGGGTAAAAGACCCGTGAAGATTCCGGGGTAGAATAGGTCTTCAGCAACATGCCGTAAAAGGCGACTATGCTTGTCGTAAAAGGCGACTAACAGGTCGGGTGGTCAGGCTCGCTGACTTGGTTGATACATGTCATCGATCCCAATTGCGTGGATCGATGCTCATGCTATTAATCACTGGATTGTCTGGTCCAGACTCGATTATTTACAGACTGCCGTCATATAACTGGAATATTGCTGAGTGTGGCGTTAAACAACAAACCAACCAACCAAACCAACCAACCAAACCAACCTGGGGTAAAAAGTGATATATGGAATTGTACCGAGAGTTATGTTTGTACCTAGCTTCTCTCTCTTGATACCCAGGGTTTGAACGCCGCTAGTTTCATACAGTCATGAGAAATTCTGCTTGGTCCAAGAAGCTTGGCTAGTCATTGTCCATGGGATGTCATGAATGTAGTGAAAATGGCGCTCAGAGCAGAGTTAGGGCCAGTAGGTGCAATAGTTTGGGGCACAGACAGGAAACATGCAGAAATTCAAACACACAAAATCTGCAAGTTAAGTGAAGCAGTACTTAATATTGTGACTCGAATATTGCAAAAGTTGTGATGTCATGAGGTAGGCATATTGTGACATCTCTGTTTTTCTACTCGTCCTTGTTACCATGGTTACCTAGTGTAAAATATTATTAAAGATGGTCAAAGCTGCTCATCATATCTCAGTGACTTATGCGGATGGCATGTTCCCATACAAGCAGTTGTTGGAAAAGCACAGTGGAACAGATTTCCTAATCTCTGCTTCTTTTCATCCTAGGAAGAAGCAGAGGAATATGGAGAAGCAGTACTCAGTGGAGTTCTTTGCCTCCTTTGTGGAGCAGCTTCAGGACGTGTGTCGCAACTACCTCCACTTCAGTCAGTTTGTGGAGGTCAGTGGCTATGTGTGTGTGGAGATTGACAACATGAAGAAGGAGAGATACGTCCTCAGTGAACTGCTACAGAGCAGTGGTAATGTGGTCAGTGAGAGCTACTGCACAAAGGCATTCAAGACTCGAGGGAACAGATCTGCCTCTGGGAACTCAATGGGCTTCTATGAAACTAGTCTTTCGAACAGAATTCCCCGGTCAAATGAACAAAGTCAAATCAATTCTAGAAGTAAACTGTTAACTAGGCAAGAGGAGGTTCTGCAAACATTTCCTTCATTGTCTGATTCAAGAAGTCTTCACAATGTGAATGCCATGTCCACATTCTCCAGTGACTTGGTTCAGGAACAAAACATGGTGGCAGATCCTGTGTTTTCCAGGTCATCCTCATACACTGCCATTCCACTATCTGGGAACAGTGTCGCATCAGTCCCCCCAGAACAAACACAAACAAGAACGCCTACACATTCCATATTTACCGGCATTGCTCCTTTTGGAAGAGAAAGAGTTGGACAGACGTCTGGAGAAAGTCACGACTTTGTATCTCATAGTCCGACTTCCTCAGCCTCAAGGTCAAGTTTCACTTATGACACAATCCAAGATGAATCTGAAGAAGCTTCCGTATCTATTCCTAAGAGACTAGCTGAAACCATTTCAGGGACTTTTAAAACAGAACCAGAGGCTGAGGAGGTGATCGACTTGGACTTGTTTGAGGATGACCCGGATGAGAGCCAGTGCAGTATCATTGATTCCAATCAAGGCGGAGGATTTAGCGAGAACAGTCCATCCAGTGCACTTGTTCCAAAGAATCCCAAGAAGACAAATCCAGGGACATTGAAAGTCATGAAAAGTTCACTGAAACAGTTCAAAGGTTACTACTATGATAGATATGGCCAAGACATTGATCCCCTGACAACTGAACCAGAGGAGCTGGATCAAATCCTCCTTGATTTCTTTCAAGGAACCAGGAAGAAGAACGGTGCTGAGCCAAATCCAGGATCTCTGAAGACGATGCAGGTGTTCCTGGAGAGATACCTGAAAGAAGGCGGCTACCCGTACTCCATTACCAAAGATGCACGCTTCAAGTCGTCCAGGAACTACATCAAGATGAAGATGGAGGACTTCAACAAGAACAAGGTCGTGCAGAAACCCATCCCAGTGGATGAGAATGACATTGAGATCATGTTCGAGAGGAATGTCATGGGTGACTACAATTCTGAGTCTCTTCTCAACACTGTGTGGTTCCTGAATTCGAAGTATTTTGGTTTAAGGGGAATAGCAGATCACTTCAATCTGAAATGGGGGGACATCAAACTGAAAGTGAACGACCAGGGGAAGGAGTATGTGGAGAGGGCATTGAGTACAAACTTCTGTCTCAAGGTGTTCGCCAAGCCTGACAACCTAGACCGGTGTTTCGTCCACTTCTTCAAACAATATCGGTCAATGAGACCTAAGCTAGCTATGGATGATGGGTCTCCATTTTACCTGAAGTCCGTGAGAAACATGTCCTCAGACAGGTGGTACCTACCTGAGCCACTGACTTGGTCTTGTTACACAAAGCTGTGGAGAAAGATGGTTTCAAATGCAGACCTGCCATTCCGGAAGAAAATATTTTGAAGGTGCCTATGTTGAAAATCCAGACATTTCGAGGCCATGAGACATTGCATGAATAATATACTACTTGTTTTGAAGCAGTTTGCCAATACTTTGCTCACAAGTCACACATTTCCATTACAGTGTTGTAATAATTGATTGAACGTACTAACGTTTCTGTTCAATTGTTCCAATAGCAAGTCAACAGAATAACATTTTTGCGACTGAAAATCGTCAGAACTGAGTCCTACTTCCCTGCACTCCTTATCTTGATCATGTTCCTTGGTCTTTTAGAATATGAGGTATTTTATATTCTGCTTAAAATTGCTTCATTGTCGAACTTTTGAAAAGGCCAAGCTTTGTCTTATCAACTTGATAAAACAAGTTGGCTAAACTGGATCAAGATTACTTATGTTCCCTTTGAAGATCTGGGTTAGATTTGGTCTTCTTCAACCCATGCTTGGTGCAAGAAGTGGCTAACGGGATCAGGTAGTCAGACTCACCGACTTAGTTGATGCATGTCATATTCTATCCCAATTATGTTGATCATTGATTATGATCCTCGTTTCACAAAGTGATCGTAGTTATGACTGTTGTAAGCATGGTAAATATATGTTGGTGTATAGGAATTACTACAGTTGTAGTGTTAAGATCGCTTTGTGAATCAAGGATCTGGGCCCACTTGCACAAAGCGATCTTAGTGCTAAGACTGTCGTAAGCCTATGTTAATGTATTGGAGTTTCAATCATCTTAGTGCTAAGATAGCTTTGTGCAAGTGGGCCCTGGTTGTCATCTGGCCCAAAAAGGTATTTTTTACCTGTTCTCTTGATGCTGTTGAGTACTGACCGATGTAATACATTAACCATGATGGCATGAACCAAAACCCATCTTTCACCATCTCACTTGTCTTGTTGATTTTCAAATATGCAATTTTCTTTTGATTGATGGCACATGGCACTGTCAGATAATGTTTTAGTTTAGTTTACAATATTGTTTTACTCTGAGTGATATTCCATGGTGAATAGGTCAAGTTCTATAGGTTTCTTATTCGGGTCAAGTTCTAAAATAAAAAATGGTTTTGTTTGCCCATAAATGATTGACCCACCATGCTTCTCTCAACTCAAATAATTTTGTGACCATTTTACTTGCCAATTATTTTTTAATCTGTCAAGATTGACGCATTTTGATAACAAGGGAATTTACTGCTTTATCAGTTTATCAAAAGTTGCTTAATGGGTACCATTAATGTTGTATAACAGTGTATAATAGGTTCCCGAACCACAAAGTTGTCTTAGGGCTATGGCTGTTGTAACTCCGTTCATTCACATAGAGGGGGCACAGGTGGCCCAGTCGTCTAAGGTGTCGTGATTCGCTGTGCAGAGTTGCATCCCTCGGGCACGCCAGAAACCTATGATTGTGGGTTCGAGTCCCGGTTTGCCCCGATTATGTTTCTAGGTTTGTCAGCAACTTACCCGTGCTCGTGGGTTTCAACGAAATGGTAAATGTCTGAGACCTGCATCACTTTGGGCTTTCCTCCCACATTCAGCTGACACGCTGTGATATAACTGGAATAATGTTAAAAGTGGCGTTAAACCCAACTCACTCATTCACATAGACGTTTGATAATCGTAGCGCTATTCATGCTAAAGATCGCTTTGTGGAAAGGGACCTTGATTCATATGATTTTGCCTGTGATTAATTTTAAGTATAAATTTATTTTCCCAAAAATGTTTACGCTGATTGCTTAATCATGCTAATCTGAGACATGATATGGATACAGATAGATATGAAAGTGTAAAACAACAAAAACAGGGCCCAGTTCCACAAGGCGATCTTAGCACTACGCCTGTCGTAATCCTATGTTAAAGTATAAGAGTATGATCATCTTGGCACGAAGATTGCTTTGTGTATCTGGGCCCTACGACATTTGAAAGTCTATGTTAAAGTATGGGAGTTAAGATCATCTTAGTTCAAAGAAGGCTTTGTGGAACAGGGCCCTGGGCTCCGTTCCATGAAATAATCGTAGAGTTACAACAGTTGAAAGTCTATGTTAAAGTATGGGAGTTCCGATCATCTTAGTTCAAAGAAGGCTTTGTGGAACAGGGCCCTGGGCTCCATTCCATGAAATAATCATAGAGTTACGACAGTCGAAAGTCTATGTTAAAGTATGGGAGTTACGATCATCTTAGTTCAAAGAAGGCTTTGTGGAACAGGGCCCTGGGCTCTGTTCCATGAAATAATCATAGAGTTAGGACAGTCGAAAGTCTATGTTAAAGTATGGGAGTTACGATCATCTTAGTTCAAAGAAGGCTTTGTGGAACAGGGCCCTGGGCTCCGTTCCATGAAATAATCGTAGAGTTACGACAGTCGAAAGTCTATGTTAAAGTATGGGAGTTGCGATCATCTTAGTTCAAAGAAGGCTTTGTGGAACAGGGCCCTGGGCTCTGTTCCATGAAATAATCATAGAGTTACGACAGTCGAAAGTCTATGTTAAAGTATGGGAGTTACGATCATCTTAGTTCAAAGAAGGCTTTGTGGAACAGGGCCCTGGGCTCCGTTCCATGAAATAATCGTAGAGTTACGACAGTCGAAAGTCTATGTTAAAGTATGGGAGTTGCGATCATCTTAGTTCAAAGAAGGCTTTGTGGAACAGGGACCACCTTATCTTTGCAGCCTTGCTATGTAATGGTGTTTTGAGTCCCTGAAGTAGTTGGCACTGATGTGTAAGATAATCTCTTCTGATTACAGAGAGAGCCTTGATGGAGAGAGATGGAGAAGCAGTACTCCGTGCAGTTCTTTGCCTCCTTTGTGGAGCAGCTTCAGGACGTGTGTCGCAACTACCTCCACTTCAGTCAGTTTGTGGAGGTCAGTGGCTATGTATGTGTGGAGATTGACAACATGAAGAAGGAGAGATACGTCCTCAGTGAGCTGCTACAGAGCAGTGGTAATGTGGTCAGTGAGAGCTACTGTACAAAGGCATTTGAGACAAGTGGAAGATCTAAGCCTGTTGCGCAATATGCTCACATGGACTCTGACAGAGATCGTGAACAAATAAACAAGGAAAATATGTTACGACGAAATCATAGAAAAAGACCCTGTCCTAATCCTGTGTTGTACAGCAGTCGGGATACCTTGGATTCAGGACAATACACTCACTCTCCAATCCTTGGTGAGGAGGAGGCATCAAATGATGCTTTTTCACAGCCAGTTGAAGTTAAATTCCAGAAAACTCAAAATGTTGGTCTTGTAAGACAGTTCAACATCACAAAACCAGCAACACAACCTTTACCTACCAGTATTCACCATGATCCAATTTATCCTACATCATGTGAAGGTCCTTCAGCTGAAAGAACAGACGATTTTGAAAACTGTTATCAACCTACGATATCAACGAGTACTTCACCGTTTGTTTGTGGAACATCTACTGAATCTGGTCCAGCAGCTGAAAATCATTGTCTTGGTCCAGACTTCATGGCAAAGCCTGCAGCTGCTGATAAAACTGTAGAGAACAAAGAGGTCCTTGTGACTATACCCCAGAGAACATCAGAGGAGACACACCCCGAGTCGGTTGTGTCTGTTACAGAAGCTGATGAAGTTATAGATCTCGATCTGTTTGAGGATGACCTGGAACTTGATGAGGAGAGCTGTCAAGCTGCTCCAGGGATAGCTTCAGTTCATACTGCAGGCATAGTTCCAAACAGGAGGCTCCATTTGAGCCCAGGAACACAGGTGCTTGTCAGAAATTCGGTGAATCAGTTCAAAAGGTTTCTGTATGAGAAATATCAAGAAGACATTGATTTAGTTTTATGTCCTCCAGAGAAACTGAACATGCTACTGTTGGATTATTTGAGGGAGGCAAGGAAAGTTGACGGGGGTGAACTGAAGGGTCGGTCATTGAAGTGTGTCCAGGAACGTCTTGATATCTTCTTAAAGGATGCAGGCTACCCTTATTCAATCACCAAAGACAAAGAGTTCCAGTTATCCCGAGATTACCTCAAGAGGAAGATCATAGAGGATGGGAAGAACGTGTCCCAGAAACATTCACCAGTGGACAGTAACGACATCGAGTTGCTCTTCCAGACTTGCCAGCTAGGAGGACACAGTTTGGAAACACTCATCAACAGCATGTGGTTCCTCAACTCCAAGTTCTTCGGACTCCGAGGCCCGGCCTATCATGTGGACTTGAAGTGGGGTAATATTGTCCTGAGGACTAATCCTGAGGGTCAGGAATATCTGGAGCGGAAGTTGAATGATGCTTTCTCTCTCAAGGTTTATGCAAAACCTGATGATCCGTCAAGATGCTTTGTCAACATGTACAAGCAATACAGATATTTGAGACCAAAGATAGCTTTGGATGAAGGGTATTCATTTTATTTGAAGCATAGTAGGGCCACCGGCCAAGACAGCAGGTACCTTCCGGAGCCGATGGTTTATCATCAATTCACAAACATATGGAGGAAGATCGTTGTTGCTTCAGGTCTGCCGCTGAAGAAGAAGATCATGTGAACTCTCGCATATATTTCTGTTTACTGGGTTTACGGATTCACCGACACTAAACATTGGGAATGTGGAAGACAATACATTCTAGTTTTACGATTTTTGTATTACCGTAGAAAGTAAAGGATTAATTATATTTTCATTTCGATCAGAGGTAAATGAAAGAAATATGTAACAAACTTATAGGAAAAGGCTTGCAGAGGGTTTTTATGCAGGACTGTTTGTATAGTCAGTTTTATAACACCAACACTTACACAAACCCTCCAAACAGTGTTTTATGCAGGACTGCTTGTAAAGTTATCAGGGTCAGAATAGGTCTTCAGCAACCCATGCTTGCTGTAAAAGGCGACTATGCTTGTCGTAAGAGGCAACTAACAGTATCGGGTGGTCAGGCTCGCTTGACTTGATGCATGTCATTGTATCCCAATTGCATGGATCGATGCTCTTGATGTCAGTCACTGGATTGTCTGGTCCAGACTTGATTATTTCCAGACCGCCGTCATATAGCTGGAATATTGCTGAATGTGGCGTTAAACAACAAACAAAACAAAACAAAAAAACTGTTTGTACGGTCAGTTTCATATCACCAACACTTTATTTACAGAAACTCTCCATACAAACATTATGGAACATTTTGTATTTGGATTATACTTTCACCCTTTGATAATATTTAACATTTTGATGATTTCTGAGAAATAAATGGGATATGGTTCTTTGTAGAAATGTTTGATTGATATATACTCTGCAAAAAACCCGCAAAAGTAGTAAAATTGTAAATACCTGACAGTGTTGCCAATATCCATGCAAAATTTATACCAAAAATGAATTCATAATGAGGTTCCTCGAGACATTTGGTGAAAAGATGGAAAAATCTTAAAAACACAACCACGTGTGATCCTGGTGCGGAAATGCACTGATATGACATGCATGTGCAACAAAACTTGTTGGGCTTTAATAACGCTGGGTTTTCATTTGCATGCCATCACTATGTTATAGCAATCTTACAGCAAAAACATGCCATGACTGATGGAAGCTCAACACAACAACATCATCAGCCGACTGCATACAGGAGAATCATCTTCAGCTGTAGCCAGGTTTTTCCACAAAGCACCAGGCACCATTAAAAGACTGTTGAATCGTTACCAGACAAACGGAACAACACACGACCTTCCCGGATCCAGTCAAGAACATACAGCTATGTCACTTACGTGAAAGAACCACCATGGCCACCTCTATAACTACGACAATACAAGCATTGCGTACGATATCAGCCCCATCAGTGAGGAACTATGAGGTATTTGCGCTAGGAGACCAGTCTGAGGGGTCATTTTGACGGACCTGCATTGTCAGCTGCGACGTCATTGTCAAGGTCACAGGGTATGGCTACCACTGCAATGAAGACAAGTTTTGTTTGGTTTGCTCAAGGGTTCCATGTATTTAGTGCCATTGAACATGACTGGCATGAAGATATCTATGGTTCTCCATCTTACAAACTCGCTGACCAATTGTCAAGATTTCGCCAACCTACCTGGGACCTAAATGTCATTCTCATGGTCTTTAGACGAAAAGGACATAGAACACATCACCTGGAAGATAGTCTTCCTCCTGGATCTAGCTACAGCTGCTAGGGTCAGCAAGATACATGCACTCGACGTCAACAGAGTTCATCTCAGTCTTTGGGTACAATGTGTGAAGCCCATTTCTGGTGTCCCCCGCCGTGATATTGCTGGAATATTGCTAAAAGCGGCGTAAAACCATACTCAGTCAGTCAGTCAGTCATCTCAGTCTTTGCTGTGATTTATTTTGAAAAGAATCAGCTTCCAGGTCAACCAGACAGATTGTTCACCATCCCATTCCTGGCTTCCATTCTAAACCTGGAGGATCAGTAAGATATCTTGTTCTGCCCAGTCAGAGCACTCTGCGTCTACTTCAGGCTTCATCTATGCTCTGCCGATCATGGAAGAGGCTCTTCATTCCTTTGTCTTCAGCGGCCAACTCAGGCGTCTCCTTATGGTTACGTTACGTGAGACGATGCTCCACACCTTCACTGGAATTTTTGGAAGTCAGATGCGGTCTTCGCTTCACATTATTTCCGTTACCGATGTCCAAGTTCTCATCCACTTGGTCCGCTGGTCCTGGCACAACAACTGACGACAGCTCATCAATGCAGATACTCGATGCGCGTACCTGCTATCACAGATGGGTACTTCGTTTCTTGTAAACACTGAATAAATGATTGACAGCCACTCCTCTGTTAAGTATTGGTACACTTCAAGCACCCAGGGGGCGGTCGTTTAGCCTTGTGGTTAAAGCGTTGGCTGGTCATGCAGCAGACACAGGTTCGATTCCCTACATGGGTACAATGTGTGAAGCCCATTGCTAAAAGCGGCATAAAACCATACTCACTCTTTCACTCAAGTTCCTTGGAGAGAGTCAACACTCGTCAACATCACTGAAGTCGTCACAAGGCACGGCAGTTTCGACGGTGTCCTTAACCCATACCTGCTTACCTCTGCCTCGAGTATGTGATGTGGAAGTATTGGTTTGATGATCCTCTTATGGATGTTGTCAATCATTCCCTCTTCTCCTGTCTTAGCATGCTTCAATCCCACGGGCGTGATTGATAGCTTCGACAATGTGTGAAAAGAGGTGCCAAGCTGGTCAGCCTTGCCTCTTAGAGGGTATCTGGTAGAACTAATTGCCTGGAGACTTGGTTTTAAGTCGGGACAGAATAGGTTCCCCTCTTCAAAGTCGATCTTGAAACGATGTCCTACACAAAAGGATACAAGTTACAACGAATGTTATACCCAATTTCCCGACCTGTGTTAGTAGCGTAAAGGGGTCTTCACACTTGGTGTTCTACCCACTCTTGAGTCTATGTCTTTCAGACACTGTCACGCTGTCACACTGTTCTTATCACGAGCTTCCTCGTGTATATATCACGGTTGTTGTACACTACAGGCTAGGATATCTGCACCCACAGATCAATCGTGGGATAAAAGCATAGTGTGAGATACGATAAGTTTAAAAACTTTTACATTACATTAATTTTACATTAAATCTTACATTAAATTGTTGGAAACGTTGTTTTAGGACCTTTTCACATAAGGGTCGAAGTATACAACTAATGTAAAATTTTCAAAGTTCTCTTTGGCTAGCCAGTGCTCTCACACAATGTGACCACTGCCAGGGCCTAGTGGATAGAGCGTCTGCCTAGAGACCGTCTCCAGGGTGGTCGGCTTGGAGTCACTATACTTTCTGAGTGGAGTATCCCTGTTATACAGCATCATATTATCTCAGTGTTCTAGCACTATAATAAGACTCGCATAAGTCAGGACAAGCAGATACACACAGACAATTACACGTGCATGCACATTGCTATGGAAGTGCAATAATCTTGAACCCAAGGTTAGACCACATACACCACCTCACCTGACACTGTGAGTGACTAAACAATAACCGTAAGACAAAAAAACAAAACACACTTCAACTTAGTTTATTTGAAAACAAATATAAACAATTAAAAAATTGAAATTGCACAATTATTTCAAGTACTTTGATGACCTGACATATGCAATCAAATTGGTTTTATCTATTATGTAAATGATCCAGAATTAAATTGTTACATTTAAAACAAATTGTAGATACTACCCGATTAAAATAATTGATTTTGTTCAATACATTTGAGCAACAATATCCATCTTGCTGAGAAATAACATTTTGCACTTCAAACTTCAGCTTCATCACATTATTTTATAACTGCCCAATTTGGTCACAGAAGACTTCATAAAACTAATTTACTAATTTACATACATTGCAATATGTGCACACCCTTAAAGTATAGGTGTATTGAAATGTGGGCTTGATATCGTGGACACAAAGTATAGGATCCAAACAACTAGCCTACATCAACACTAGTGGGCCAGAGAAGACTTAAAACCAGTATTAACAGCAGCCCTGGAAAGTAAACTACATCAGAAAATCTGAATTCACTGGGTTCATCGAATATAGTGACGTTGTCCTGGATGAGACTCGGGTAAGGCGCCACTTGTGAGGCTGATGCAGGTGCTGGTCCTGGACCTTCCGGGACGAGAGGTCCCTTCAGTTCTGAAGTGAACCACCTGTCAGACAGCAGTGGTGCAGCTAGGTCTGTTGTTGGAGGAGACCTCCCGTGATCCACTGTAGCTACTGGAGGAGACCTCCCGTGATCCTCTGTAGCTATTGGCAAAGACCTCCCGTGATCCTCTGTAGCTATTGGCGAAAACATGCCGTGATCCTCTGTAGCTATTGGCAAAGACATGCTGTGATCCTCTGTAGCTATTGGCGAAAACATGCCGTGATCCTCTGTAGCTATTGGCAAAGACATGCTGTGATCCTCTGTAGCTATTGGTGAAGACATGCCGTGATCCTCTGTAGCTATTTGCGAAGACATGCCGTGATCCTCTGTAGCTATTGGAGAAGACAAGCCGTGGTCCTCTGTAGCTATTGGCGAAGACATGCCGTGATCCTCTGTAGCTATTGGCGAAGACATGCAGTGATCCTCTGTAGCTATTGGCGAAGACATGCTGTGATCCTCTCTTACAAAAAATGATTTGTGTCTGGTCAGTTCTGGATCTTCTGTTTTCATTGCAGAAGCCGGTATAGTTTGGTGTTCAGTGGCAGCTGCAGTGTTACGTGTAAACAGCAGTGAACAGTCATCTTTTGTTCCCACGTATGACTGCAGAATTGTAGAAAACTCAGCTCCAGTATCAGACATGTGGATGTGACTAGATAGTTCATGGGATGTTGACACACCAATGTTGGCAACAGTTGGCCTGTTTTGGACAGCTGACTCGATGTTCGTGACATTTCTTCTTGTGCTGGGAAAAGAACCTTGTGCATCGTTGTCTGTTGCAGCACTCTCATCCGAGTTCTGAGACTCATCTTTAGAGGCTTCATTCCCCCACTTAACACTACCATCATGAGGAGACCCTTTCTTTCCCGCACTTTCAGAATCTTTGGTCACAAAGCTGGCATGTTCTGGTTCCTTATCACTTGGGTGGATGTCTCCATGTGGCGCCACAGTGAGAGTCTGGGACAGGACCTCTGTATACTCCTCCTGCAGCAGGTGCCACAGACAAGAGAGAGTTGGTCGGTCGTCCGGGGTCTGGGCACAACACATATTGTAAAGTTCCCACATAGTGGAAATCTGTGAACATGTATGAATGTTCTGAAAGACTTTTCCAAGACTGAAAACATCACTGTCCTTTGTTGTTTCAGCATGAGCACACACTTCTGGGGCTATATATGTGAAGTTTTTCATGTCCTGACTCTCGTCATATGTGACTCCAGACTTGTATGATGCTGAACCCATGTCACAGTATTTAACCGTCGGCGGTGTTCCAGAAAGGTCAACAAGGATGTTATCTGGCTTGATATCATTAATGATGACGTCTTTGTCATGGATTCTTCCCAAGCCATCCACTAACTGACATGCGATGTGCAGCCAATGTTGTTTGGACAACGCTTTCTTTTTGTTGATGATGTCACGGAGTGTTTGCCCAGACCCAAAGAGCTCCAACACAATGTTGTGTCTTCCCACCACATCTTTCACTAATCCATAACAGATTGGAACATAGCCTGTAGGTCCCAGGTACAAAGTAATTCTGGTTTCATTGACGATATTCTCCATTGATCTCATGTTCACAAAGATTTCTTTCACCACAATATCTCTGCTGAGCCCTGGGGACACCGTCAGCGTTGCTGCGTACACCTGACCACAACACCCTGTGCCGATAACTTTGTCAGTGAGGCCATCTGGCTCAACTATGTAGTCGACCATGTGTGAAGGAAGAGTTGGAATCTTGATGTGCCAGAACTCCGAAGACATGCTGAAGGAAGGTCCACACACCCTCTTGAAGACGTACTCAGAAGGAAAGGGTTCCCGGCCGGCTAGCTTGTCCTCATCGTGGTCAAGGGTGGACAGAGGGCTGACGTCATGATAATTGTGGAAGGCTTGTCCAAGAGAGGCACGCGGTGGAGACAGGATGCTCAAGGTGGGAATGTCCAGGATGTCATCCTCGTGGCTGAAGAAATCGTCCCAGAGGGAATTTAAAGATGTTCCTATCCTGTCGATAGCCAGAAAAGTAAGATGTCACGTACAGATAAAAGTCTTTGTTTTACATAAACAAATAAATAATACATTTAAAATATGGGTCTTTTCATCTGCACAATAACACTACTGTTATTCGCTATGTGAACACTAAATCACAGAAAAAAAATGTCATGGAAAATATTTCCAATGGCTTAATTTACAGTAGACATATATTTGGAGTAATTATTTTTATAATTTATTTTTAGCTTGCATGTGACCAAAACAAATATCCAACTTTCCCTTCACGTCGAGCAGTATTCCAGCAGCTCCAGCCTTTGGAGTCTACATTTCACATACTTTACGAACGATCAAGCATGCTCGTTCTCAAAGAGTTTTATACGACTCTTGCTCAAAAGTTGTTTGGTCAAAGTTACACTACCCAAGCCCCAGTGAAGCTTTGAAAACGTTTTATGGAAGACATGTGGAAGTCATTTCCAAATCTGACGCATCAATGACAAAAATGATGGGGGACACAATTCCCTTTCTTGACTTGTACCATGTGTTCCCGTGTTCTTTCAGGTTAAAGAATGTGCATGTTTTTTGTGGGTGAGGTGAGGTGAAATGGGGTTTAACGTCGCGTCCAAGATTATTGCACTTATATAGCGACGTACATGTACGTGTGTGTGTTTGTGTGGCTGCTTGCACTTGTCCGGACTGATGCCGATTTATAGTGCTAGCTCACTGAGATACCATGCCGCAGTTTAACATGAATACCCCACTCAGACACAGTATACTGACTCCGAGCCGACCAGTCCTTGTTTAAGCCCCTTAATGCCGAGCGCCAGACAGGGTAACAACAAGTACCATCTTTTAACGTCTTTTGGTATGACGCGGTCGGGGATCGAACCCCGGACCTTCCGCTCTCCGGGCGGACGCTCTACCACTAGACCACGGAGGCGGTCCATGTTTTTTGTGACGGATGCCACTAGTGGGCAGGATACGCCCATCTTTTCGCGAACACCTGGTATCATCAATATTTGATAGTGATTCACATATGATATGTGAAAGCCTGAGACCTGCATCACTTTGGGCTTTCCTCCCACATTAAGCTGACGCCGCAATTTAACTGGAATACTGTTAAAAGCGGCGTAAAACCAAACTCACTCGCTCACACATATGATATAATCGGAATCGTACAATCGACTCAACTTATAGCAGATATTTCTTATGAATATGGAAAGAGTTTTGTCGTTTTTATGTACCAACTGTACAAACGTGCCTGTAAATAATTCCATATTCTACACACATACAAATAATGGTCAGTTGAACGCGTCCTCTACATTGTGCGTAGTACTTAAACATACAGCAAGTTGTCTGCCATGCGTGTCTGTTGATTCAAGTCATGTTAGTTTTGCATTAATTTTCAGTCATGTGTTAATAGTAGTTTACAGTGCTAGGTCAAGGATGGGAAGTGTTGGAGACGCACCTTTCTGCGGAACTGCTATGTTTGAAACAAAGACCTTCAATCAAATCATCGTCACAGTGGAAATTATCTATATTAGCCGACTTTGGCACCTCTTTTTTGTGGATAAATATGATAATGTATGCACAATGGTTGAATTATTCTCTCATAAATTAAACTCTCGAATGTCCCTAAGCAACTCGTGTTACATGTATGTTACATGGTATTCTAGCTTTCGTGAACACCCGGTGTTAATACTGCTTTTCAGTGATCCATTCATACAATTTTCACCGCTAGTTTGCCTTCTACGCCCAATGGAATCTGTTTCAGCAGATAATCGAGACTGGTTATTCTCTGACGTTGATATTTTATATTTATATACCTGCATGGTCTGTTATCCTGCCTGCAGATGCTCCTCTCAGACATAGGATTGCACTGCTTCATGTCTGTCAAGGACTCTCTGACTTCCTCTGGTTGGTTCATCGATGTAGTGGTAGCAGTGTGTGGAGCAAAGCCACCAGATGGTTTAGTAGATCCAGGAAGCACAGGGGTGTTAAACAGATTTGACCAGAGAGTTTTCTCTTCTCTGTAACCACCATTAAGCAATGGCTTGCACATTGTCTGTAATAGGGTGCCTTTGAGTGTCTTTGGAATATCAGAGATTGAGTTGAATTTGGATACTTCCCAGAGTAGGCGCTCCAGACTTTGCGCATCATTCTTGCTAAGATCGGTTTGCATGGAGGCATCAGCTGCATCTGACAAGGACTTTGTGACGACGTCTTCGGCACCACCAACACACGCCTCCCTCGCAACGACTGTTCTATTGCCCTGGGTCTGTTCATGATGGTTCTTCCAATCTACCACGTGGTGTCTCAAAGGCATGTGGCCATCTTGGTTTCGAGCCATATTGGTCCTGTTTGAAAGGCCATCGTTCCATGCTTTGTTGGCTACAGATTTGCTGTGGTTTGTATTGTTTGTAGCAGGATCTCCTTGGTGTGTCTGTTCCCTGACACGTGACTTGACTGAATTGGTTGGACGTTTGCTTGATTTCGGCTTGGCGCGTTCTTGGCATTTAGAAATCCCCTGCTGCGACCTTGGTCCGGTTAGTAAGGACTTTTGGTCTTCCTTGGTATTGCCATTGTTATTCTTGTTTAGATTGGCCATTAAGCACATGTGAACATTTCTCATACTGATGGCATCATCAATAAACGAGTTGGAAGATTTGTCATGAGTTCCAGAATACACACTCCACTCCCTCAGCTCCTCCCAGTACAGGTCCTCCATCACCTGGATCTGCGATCGACCTGCCTGTTGACCTGGTGCCCTGCTGGGACTTGCCCTGAAGTACTTCATGTGCTGACTGGCCAGGTCCTTCAGGGTGGCTGAGACCATGTCGGGGTGGGTGTCCTCAAGCCAGTACCAGGGTGTGAGCGGACTCCGCCGGGCGGCCTGTATAAAAGGAAACGTCAATTTGAACACTGGAACATTTATTTTTATATATTCGTGTTATAGTGAGTGAGTGAGTGAGTATGGTTTTACGCCGCTTTTAGCAATATTCCGGCTTTATCACCGCGGGGGACACCAGAAATGAGCTTCATACATTGTACCCATGTCGGGAATCGAACCCGGGTCTTCGGCGTGACGAGCGAACGCTTTAAAGGGGAAGTGTACACGCAAAAATCACTTTCTTTCTTTTTCTAAACAAAACGCAATTTTAGAATTAATTAGTATCTATGTTTGAAAATATACACTAATTTTTTTTCACAGTGAAAGTAGGAAGCTCACAATAGTGTTAAAATGATATGCCGTTATGAGGCCTTCGTTTTACGAGCGAAATAGGCCTGAGTTATCCCCCTTAGATTATGACGTAATTGGTGCCAATTCAACTGGGTCCCTGTCTATTCTCAACGCAAAAGATATCAAGGACCAGTTTGCGGTAAAACAACATGGTCTACGACACACTCCGGCGCAGTAGTGACTCAGCATAACACAATTCTGGCTGACATCTGAGACGCTAGAATCACAAAACTGTACCTACACCACGTGAAGCGGCTCTAACAAAGCATGATGACGTCATAATGTTTATCAATTGGCACCAATGACGTCATATTGCAAGGGGCATAAGCCATGGTGTTTTTGTTATGGAAATAGAACACTTGGTAAATGTGAAAAATATAAATCGTTTTAATGCAAAAAATATGTTAATTAAATATGATGTTTTTATATTTTTGTCTATGACACTTCTATGTTAACACTTTTAATGTGGAAATAGTACAAGAAAAATTGGTTCATTTCCGTGTGAACTTGCCCTTTAACCACTGGGCAACCCGACTGCCCATATTCGTGTTATACTCGAGGATCACACTTTACTGAACATGCGCCATCATCTGTTGCAGCATAGGTTTGTGTTTGTTTGTTTCTTTCTTTGTTTTTTAACGGCACGTTCAGCAATATTCCAGCTGTATAACGGTGGTCTGTAAATAATCGAGTCTGGACAAGACAATTAAGCGATTGATATCATGAGCATCGATCTACGCAGTTGGGATACGAAGTCATCCATCAACCAAGTCAGCGAGTCTGACCACCCGCTTCCGTTAGTCGCCTCTAACGTCAAGCATAGTCGTCTTTTACAGCACGCGTGGGTAGGGAAGTTCTTTTCTCTACCCGGATCTTCACGGATCGTTGCAGCAGGCGGTGTAATGTGTGCTATGCCTCTATCTTGTGATTCGGGTCGTTGAGAAACTTAATGCAATTTGAGTCAGCAGATAAACAAGGGGTTTTGGGGATTGATAATTAGTTAGAGCCCGGTATCTGTTTAATTTCTTCTTCTTTTTCACCAGTTATTTTAAAGTACTGACAACAGCGACTAGAAGATGGCTCAAGGTGGTTGAGGCTGACCCCTCTTTGCAGCCAGGATAGAAAAAGGATGAAGTTATTCTAACTTGTTTCTCCTTTGATGTTTCCACCAACAGGCAACCAAACAAGAAAGTCATTTTAACTCTTATACTTTGACGAGGACTATCAAGAGCGTTATCAAAACCGCAGCTTGCTGGGAAACAAACATGACAAATGTGTGAGTTAGTTAAACTGTCTGCAGGTTCCAACATCCGCATGTATACACACTTACTCTGTATTCATCTGGGGGCACGGGTGGCCCAGTCGCCAGAAACCTATGATTGTGGGTTCGAATCCCGGTTCGCCCCGATTATGTTTCTCGGTTTGTCAGCACCATACCCGTGCTCGTGGGTTTCACCGAAGTGGTAAACGTCTGTAAACCTGCATCCCCTCGGGCTTTCCTCCCACATTAAGCTGACACGGCGCGATATAACTGGAATACTGTTAAAAGCGGCGTTAAACCCAACTCACTCACTCACTGTATTCATCTGATGAAGGGACAAGCAGTAGCCATGAAGCGTCCTTACAAACTACATGTAGAAAGAACTTGTTATCCATGAAAGTGTCATGTCTTCGCGTTCTTCCAACTTCTAAACTCTGTTTCTCCTATCTTATCGCGAGGTAGTGTATGTTTACATTATCCTGCATTTCGAGCTGTCAAATATAGTTCATCTTTTTATCACAGTATAATTTATCGTACGGAAGGATAGTACTGAGTGTAGTTTACATGGGCTACGGAATAAGAAGCTAATATGTGTATCCAGTTAGAATAAGCTCCCCTGTAGCCTCTGTTGTTGTCGCACGAGGCGACAAAATGGATCGGATGGCCAGCAACTTGGTTGATTGGGTGTCATCATACTCTAACGTCAGTGGATTGTCTTGTTCAGACTCGAATATTAACAGACCGCCGTCATATAGCTGGAATATTGCTGAGTGCGGCGTTAGACAACAAGCAAAGACAATTTACAACAAATAAACATGCTTTTTGTCGCTGTTTGGTGTCACTATACTAGAAACTGAATGCCAAGATACGATCTGATAACGACAGTTAAAACTGTCATTTTAGGCTCCCAAGTTAATTTTCCATTTGATTGAATGAGTTGGGTTAATCACGGAAGTGATCTAAGAGTTGCGTCCCTTAGCTGTCGTTCGAATCCGTGAGTATACGATAATAGAAAATGTTTGTTATCTTCTTATCGAAATGGTGAAGTAAAAAGTGTTTATCAACTTACCATTTGACCTTCGTCGAAGATGACATCCATTGTTTTATTGGTAGGTTTGTGGTCGTCCATTGTCACTTTGAGCAGACGACATGTGTGAAGTCGACACCAATGCGGTCGATGTAGATACTGTGGGTTGTATGACGTGACTGTCGGAGCTGTCATCAACTTTGTGACCGTATGGACAATGGCGTGACGTCACAAACGTATCCAAGTTTGCGATTCTCGCTGAACACGCCACACGATATTTGAGATATTTGCCATGAAGTTAAGAAAAGGGTAAAATATTTGGACATACGTCAGGGAAGCTCGCTCATATGTTTTAAGCATGTCCAGTATTGTTATTATAAAGTGTTATTTTAGTCTAGACTGAAGTCTGTGACGTAATAAAAGTATGACCTCACAATGCAGTGACGATTATGAAGAATGTTGAACAATTGACTTAAGTATGTTTTTGCGTTTATGGAGGTAAAAGCCGGACTGCAATTTGCATAAATATATACGTCAAAAACAAACTTCATAGATTGCTTATTTAATCATTAAGGGGCAAGTTCATATGACAAAGAACATTTTTCTCGTACTTTATGAAAAATACGTTTTTAAACATTTAAACTAATTCCAAGATTTCGTTTCCTACATGAAAAAAAGTGACTTTTGTGTGTGCATTTCCTCTTTAATTTACACAAAAAAATAACACAATACAAAATCAGTGACATCGTCCAGAGCAATAATGCAACAAAATGTCCGTTCATTGTAGCATCGTCCAGTCAGGAAACCGAAGTCCGTTTGTGGGAATGGCCGATTTTCGATTTACGGAAACACAATCGCTTGCAATTTACATGTATTTATTAATCGATTAAACATAGAAGCCATCAGTTTGCATTTATCTATAAATAGTAGGCGCGGGTTGCCAAGTCGTGTAGGGCGCCGTAATTCGCTGTGCAGAGTTGCGTCCCTTGGGCACGCCAGAAACAAAGACTGTAATGATTGTTTTGAATCTTGGTTCCCCTCGATTATGTTTCTGGGTTTGTCAGCACCATAACACTGCTCGTGGGTTTTACCAAACTTGTACACGTCTGAGATCTGCATCATTTTCGGACTTCCCTCCCACAAGTTGACATATAACTGAAATTCTGTGAAATGCGGCGTAAAACCCAACTCACTCACTCATGCACGCACGCACGCACGCACGCAATTTCTCACTACACTCACGCACGCACGCACGCACGCACGCACGCACGCACGCACACACACACACTCACAAATAGTTATGATGAATTGTTAATTCGTGTGTGGCACAACTTTGTATCACGCATGCGTGTATCGCATGGCAGTCATCAGGGTTGGAACGCGTGTCAAAATAGGTCCAAGCAATCCACTGCTGGTCGTAAGAGGCGTCTAAAGAGGATTGGGTGGGCAGGCCCCGTCACGTCGTTGATCATGTGCCATTGTGCCAAGGTAGTGTGGATGGTTACTCATGTTTCACTTGTGACTGAAGTTGTTTTTGTTGTTTTTTTCTGGTCCAAGCTCAGTTATATACGTGGGGCTGTGATACGGCTGGACTATTTCAGACTGTCACGTTAGGCTTTATTTATTGACCCTATTATTGATTCTAAATATGACTTGTATCGACTCCAATATCCACTGATCGGCTTTTTACAAATGTTTTCGCGATAATTCACCATTACGTTTTAAAACGCTGAAAACAATTAATGTCAGGATCGCCATTCTCATGACTCGGCCTCTGTGTCGGCAGGGGGCACGGGTGGCCCAGGCGTCTAAGGCGCCGCAATTCGCTGTGCAGAGTTGCGTCCCTTGGCGTGCCAGGAAAATATGATCGTGGGTTCAAATCCCGGTTCGCCGCGATTATGTTTCTAGGTTTGTCAGTCCCATACCCGTGGTTGTTGGTTTTACCAAAGTTTTAAACGCCTGAAACTCGCATCACTTCAAGCCTTCCTCCCACACTATAAGATGACAAACCGGGATAACTGAAATACTGTTCAAAGCAGAGTTAAGCTCTTTCACAATATTCCAGCAATATCACGGCGGGGGACACCAGAAATGAACTTCACACATTGTACCCATGTCGGGAATCGAACCCGGTTCTTCGGCGTGACGAGCGAACGCTTTAACCACTAGGCTACCCGACTGCCCCTCTTTCACATGAATTCGCCATAAATTTTTTTTGGTCTTTATATGGATACTATTACTAGTATTACTATTACTATTACTATTACTATTACTATACTGAAATGTTATGAAATAGGATATTATATATAAATTGTATACGGAAACCTTCTCGATTACGGTTCACGTTCCGGAAATAGTTCCTATATGTAGTCGGTCTTCTGGAAACTAGTACACACTCGGAAAATCTCGGAACGTACCTGAAGGCTTACGCGAATAAATAAGGAAATAGGAAATCGCACGAGTGTGTTCAGAATGCGATACTGTTGAAAAGCTGAATGAAAGAACGGCAATTGTGTCGCTTTATGACGAATTGTGAAAAGCAAACAGGTGCATATATGACAATATTTTTTAGGCTAGATCATAGCTTGTTTTGAGAACAGTCTCAAATATTTCAATGTAAGATAGCGCATTGCATGTGGATTTTACGTTGTGTAGCTAGTTGGATTATCCCCCTTGATAGTTTACGTGTGTGCGTGTTGGATTTGTGAACTGCACACTATCATTGATGTTCAATATGTCTTCATTTCTGATTCTCTACAAAGCGTTTTTTTTTAACTCAATGATTTTACACCAAATACATATAGGCCTTCGAAAGTATGCTTTCATTTAGTATCACAGATCTAAATGCACCTAGAAAAGCACCTAGATCTAGGTCATATTGGGGGCTAAATACATTGTGGAATGTATTGAGATAGTTTGTTAGCTTATCATGCCCTTTAATTCTATGTTTATTACTTGTCCATGAAGAAATCACCCCTGTAGTAAAATACAGCTGTATTACACATTAGGGCTGGGACGATACACCAACTGTGCAATCCAATACATTTCACGATACGTGTATGTGCTTGTATCTGTAATGGGCAACACATATTTTTCATAGACAGGATAGTCAAATACCTAGCACCGTGATGATTTACAGTTGGCAGTGTCAAGTATGGTGCAATAGATGAAAATATTTACTTTTTTACGACTAATTTTCACTACTAATTAGTGTTTGGTGTAACAACCATTGAAGTAAATATTAAAGGGGCACTGATCTAACGCAATACCCCGGACTGGTTGTTGCCTTTGTTATTTTTTTTCCCCCGTGAGTACCCAGATGATACGCAACGCAACTGTGGGAGACTGGGCTACCGTCTGCAAGGACAGTTAGATAAACTTGGAGGCTGGAGACAATATTTGTTTTACGCATTTTTGCATAAACACTGATTGGTAAACTGTGATCTCTAAAGATTTTGACAAAGGGCGCATGTTAATTAATTTCTTCAGCCTAAACAAACAGACAAAAAGAACGGCGGAGCTCATCGGATGTCTTTATTTGGAAATGCCCCAGATGGTTATAGTTTAATACTATAAAAAGTATCCATGCAGTGAAAGCATTTTCGGATTTCGGATTGCGTCGATAATACGATTACTACTCCCTTCTTGTCATCCACGTTTTCTCGTATAACCCTACACTTGTGTATTTTGTCATCATTCACTTGATGCTCAGTTAATGAATTTATTACAGGTACAATTAGTGGTAGCACCACTTAGATTCATTTTGTTGATCAATGTGACCATACGCCCCTATTACTACCAATAAAGTTACTAATGCGCTTACGAATGGCGTAAGAGAGGTCGCGAAGTAGTCTAGATTTCTGCTCTACATCCGGGTACTCACTGGGAAAAAACAATAACAAAGGCAAAAACCAGTCCCGGGGAATTGCTTTAGATCAGTGCTCCTTTAAGGTCTGAATCAATAATTTTTACTCAGTGTGCAACTGTGATCGATTCTTGTATCGAGAAGTAAAATATCGCGATGCATCGTCCCACCTCTATTGCAAATTGTGTTATACCAAAGCGCATGCTTATGTGCAGCGCGAACAAGTTTCACTTACAAATATTTAAAACTCCCAACATCCCTCGGCTTATTCAACCACATTGTGTTTAGAGATAATAGATCGCTGAGAAAAGCTTATACACACTCAATGACCCAAGCAACCCTGTTGCTAGTCAATTCGCTAGTTTGTTGTTGATTTGAAATTATTTTCCACTTGCTAACAGTTGGGGTGAAACTATAAAGCAAGATCACAATACAGTATGAATCACGATACATGGGTCACCATACATTACGTATCACGATACTGCGAGGATGCAATACATATCACGATACGTGGGTCACCATACAATAATATCATGATACAGCAAGGTCACGATACAATATGTATCATGATACATGGGTACCCATATAATACCAATCATGATATAGCAAGGATACATTACATATGACAATACATGGGTAATGATACGATTCGTATTACATACGATACATACATGATACATGGGTCACCATACAATATGTATCACGATACAGTAAGGTGACAATATGCTAAGTATCATGATACATGGGTCACCATACAATACGTATCACAATATGCATGGAAACTCCTTGACAATAAATATTTCAGATTAGGTTCAAAAGGAACAGCTAGTTGAAGTCACATGTTGGTTGCGATTATTTTTGGTAGTGAACTTGAAACTCTAATTACAACATACTTTGCAATATTTGACTGACATAAACGCTGGGGGGTCACTAGACAAGTAGTAAGTAATGTATTTTAGCAAGTGTATCATCTTGTATCAATACAGAATACAACGTATCGTGTATCGTATCATCTCTTGAAAATTCGCGATGCACTGGCGCACTGATATATTGTTTCACGCCTAGCTCACAGCATATTACAATGTATGATATGCATGTGTGTACATATGTAGCATCACAAGCCTGCTATCTCAAGCCATATTAGTTTTACAAAGGAACTTGCTGCACTGGTATGTGGAAAATGTTTGCTTGTTTCTGAGTTTGAGTTGTATATTCATAAAGAAGACTTTGGTACATTGGCAAATTTACTTACTGTCTTAATGGGTAAGTGTTTTAAATGTCAACTTATGGTCTGTGTTAACATGGTTAAAGTATGTGAGCTTTGACCATCACAGGTTTATGTTTATATGAGCTTCGACCGTCACAGGTCTATGTTTATAGGAGCTTCGACCATCACAGGTCTATGTTTATAGGAGCTTCGACCATCACAGGTCTATGTTTAAAGGAGCTTCGACCATCACAGGTCTATGTTTATAGGAGCTTCGACCATCACAGGTCTATGTTTATAGGAGCTTCGACCATCACAGGTCTATGTTTATAGGAGCTTCGACCATCACAGGTCTATGTTTATAGGAGCTTTGACCATCACAGGTCTATGTTAAAGTATAGGAGCTTTGACCATCACAGGTCTATGTTAAAGTATGGGAGCTTCGACCATCACAGGTCTATGTTAAAGTATGGGAGCTTTGACCATCACAGGTCTATGTTAAAGTATGGGAGCTTTGACCATCACAGGTCTATGTTTATAGGAGCTTTGACCATCACAGGTCTATGTTGATAGGAGCTACAACCATCACAGGTCAATGTTAAAGTATGGGAGCTTTGACCATCACAGGTCTATGTTAAAGTGTGGGAGCTTTGACCATCACAGGTCTATGTTAAAGTATGGGAGCTTTGACCATCACAGGTCTATGTTAAAGTATGGGAGCTTCGACCATCACAGGTCTACGTTAAAGTCAGGGAGCTTCGACCATCACAGGTCTATGTTAAAGTATGGGAGCTTCAACCATCACAGGTCTATGTTAAAGTATGGGAGCTTTGACCATCACAGGTCTATGTTGAAGTATGGGAGCTTCAACCATCACAGGTCTATGTTGAAGTATGGGAGCTTTGACCATCACAGGTCTATGTTAAAGTATGGGAGCTTCAACCATCACAGGTCTATGTTAAAGTATGGGAGCTTTGACCATTACAGGTCTATGTTGAAGTATGGGAGCTTCAACCATCACAGGTCTATGTTAAAGTATGGGAGCTTTGACCATCACAGGTCTATGTTGAAGTATGGGAGCTTCAACCATCACAGGTCTATGTTAAAGTATGGGAGCTTTGACCATCACAGGTCTATGTTAAAGTATGGGAGCTTCGACCGTCACAGGTCTATGTTAAAGTATGGGAGCTTCAACCAGGCAGTCAAATCTTGTTTAGTGGGAACCAGATAACTGAAGAAAATGGGCAAGTAGATACTTTTGATCGGTCCAGACTGTTTCTTCTTTGTTCTTTTTTTAATGCAAACACTTGAGTAGTAGATGTCCACTCAAAGGAACTGATGAGCTTCTCAAAACATTTTGAGAAACAACAGATGTTCTAGGGCTGGGATGAGTCCAAATTTACTACCTTGGTACCCATCCCCTGTTACCCAACCCTACCCGGGTGCCCGCTGTAGGTCTCAAGAGATAGCTACAATATGTCTGATTAGTACACCTGTCAAAATGTATTAGTGAGTGAGTGAGTTGGGTTTAACACTGCTTTTAACAGTATTGCAGTTATATCGTGGGCGTGTCAGCTTAATGTAGGAGGAAAGCCCGGAGTGATGCAGGTCTCAGACGTTTACCTCTTCGGTGAAACCCACGAGCACGGGTATGGTCCTGACAAACCTAGAAACACAATCATAGGTTTCTGTCGTGCCCAAGGGACTTAACTCTGCACAGCTAATCGCGGCGCCTCACATGTAGGCTTCTGCAAATGATATTGCCCAGAAAAAAGAATGCTACCCTTATGATTTAGGATCTGACAAGTCTTCCATTTGAGATGAAGTCAGGGGAACACTGACAGTGCAATTTAAACAAGGAATTCATGATCTTTTGGCTTCATTTCGTCACCTCCGAGTTTCAGATATTTCGATATTGATATAAGAAAACACACACAGACCATCTATATATACCCTTGCAGATACCGTAGTGCACAGATATGATAGGGTATATGAAATATCACAGCAATATAATGATACTGCCTTTAATTTTTCCATTTGGAACTTACTTTTATGTTTGATTTTGAGATATAGAAATCAGGTATGCTCCTCAGAATGCTTTAAATACTTAATCAGTGCTGAGTAGAAAGTTCACCTGACACACCTCCTTTGTGTCAGAGCAGTGGTAATGTTTGTCAGCGAGGTATCTTCTTGAAGTAAGAGATCTGATTTTATTGTGTCATTACCATCCTCAACCCAACAGATGAACAATAAGCCACCCAACACATTCACGCATGGACTAAAAGCTGGTTCTTTCTTCATAGGAAAAGGCCTTTAACAATGGAGCAGTATCCAGTCCAGTTCTTTACATCCTTTCTGGAAAATCTTCAGAGACTCTGTCGAGACAATGTGAACTTCAGTCAGTTTGTGGAAATCCATGGCTACCTTTGTGTAGAGATTGATGATGTGAAGAAGGAGAGATACGTCCTCAGTGAACTGCTACAGAGCAGTGGTAACATGGTCAGTGAGAGCTATTGTACAAAATCATTCAGTACTGGACGAAATGGCCATCACCAGACGGACACCAGGTCTCAGTTTGAAAGAACTGATTGGGAATCTCAATCTTACTCACATTCCAAGGTGGGTTCAGAGGAATGGACTTCTCAGGGGAATTGGGAATCAAAATTTCAACCCAAGAGAAGCAGACGGCATAGCCATGAAGACTTGGAGACTTGTGCATCAACATCTTCAAGACATGTGGATAACTTCAAGCCTCTGATGTTACCATCTCCACGTAGTCCCGAGTCCACGCTTGTGTCGTGTCGGGAAGGCCTGCAGAGTCACGCCACCTCATGGGAAGCTGAAGATGGTGATGGACGGATGCAGACAGACTCGCTGACCACCCTGTCCCCATCCTTTACAGACACTGCTGCATCCCCCACAGTGGATCCTGATGATGTCATAGATCTGGACATGATCGACGATGATGTGGACTCCTCGTTCGTGGGCGAGGAGACTTCAGTCACTGTACCCCAAGGAGTAGCTCAGGACCAACCTTGCAGCACCATTCAGCAGCGGAAGACTCGTTTGAGTCCAGGGACTTTGAATGTTATCAAACATTCGGTGAAACAGTTCAAGAGATTTCACTTTGACAAGTCAAGGACAGACATTGATCTGCTCTCTACACCACCGGATAGGTTGAATATTTTGTTGTATGAATATTTCAAAGATGCCAAGAAGATAGGAGGAGGCGAGCTCACAGCCAGATCACTGAAAAATGTCCAGGCTCACTTAGAAATGTTTTTGAGAGATGGAGGGTACCCATATTCAGTCAGCAAAGACAAACAGTTTCAGTCTTCTCGGGACTTTCTCAAGAAGAAGCTTATGGACAGTGGCAAAATTGTGACTCAGAAATTCAGTCCTGTTGATAATCATGACATTGAAACCATGTTTTACATGAATCAGTTGGGGTCCTACAACCGAGACTGTCTCACCAACACCATGTGGTTTCTTAATTCCAAATATTTTGCCATCCGACGCCCTGCGGAACATTTTGGTTTAAAGTGGGGATGCATCTCACTAAAGACCGATGATGCAGGGCAAGAATATCTGGAGCGCAAAATTAATGAATCGTTTTCTTTAAAAGTGTTTGCTCAGCCAGAGACTCCAAACCAATGTTTTGTCAACTTCTACAAGACGTACAAATCCATGAGACCAAAGATAGCCCAGGATGAAGAGTTTTCATTTTATCTGAAGGTAAATAAGTCAGACAATGAACAATGGTTCCTGCCCGAGGCGATGGCTTGGAATCCGTTCACCACGATATGGAGGAAGTTGGTGCTGGGGTCCGGACTTCCGATGAACAAGAAGATCATGTGAGCTCAGATGGGGCCGGCCGACACAGAAAGGTTCGAAAAGACCTTAAATTTGGTGGTTAGGTTTGTATGAAGAATGGACAGGTGTGATGGACGCTGTGTGGGGATGATGGTGCGGGAAATACTGCCCACTGCATGGCCCTCCCTTCACCAGGGCAGGGCCTGGGTAGCACTAAAGTAGATCTGTGTTCCGAGTGAAAGATCTTTCCGGGTGTAGCTTGAAGTTTTGACTATATCAGCGTTAGAAATTGGCACTAGTCCTGTAGTCCTTACCAAACTGCCCAATGGTAAAGGTATCCTAAGGACTAGTAGAAATTGGCCCATTTTAAGGGTTTTGCAACACGTTATCATTATAAGGACCAGTGGACAAAGGCTGTTAGTTTCTAACCCTGTTATATTAATGTAAAACAGCTTTCTCTCGACTAGGAACTATTTCTTGTCACAAGGTGGAATTTCTTTTTCTGTAGATTGACCCATGGTCACAAGTTTTACTGATTCTTGCTAACCAGTTAGCTTGGGTCAGTTGAAATACAAAATTTCTGCTTGTATTTTGTTTTACATGAAGTTATTTAGTTTAGTATGTTTAGTTAGAAGAACTAAATGATATAGTGTTTACAGTTCAATTAACATGTATATTTACTTGTGAGAAAGTACTTTTTGCAGTGGTCAAAGATTCCCTTTTTTATTTAGGTGCCATATACATTGCACTTGATGAGTTTATTTTTATAAATTTAATGTTGATTTGTTAGTGGATGGACCAATCAGACAAATAATAATAAATAAGAATGAATTCTATTTAGTTTAAGTACTACATGGTTTTTGTTTTTAAATGTTTAGCTGGGGCAGTCGGGTAGCCTAGTGGTTAAAGCGTTTGCTCGTCACATCGAAGACCTGGGTTCGATTCCCGACATGGGTACAATGTATGAAGCCCATTTCTGGTGTCCCCGCTGTGATATTGCTGTAATATTGCTAAAAGCAGCGTAAAACCATACTCACTCACTCATTTTGAAAAAACTGCATATATAACATTTGTTCAGTGATGAATCATTTTCCAGAATCATATAGCAGTATTACTATTTTTGTAATCCACATTTTCAATGTAACCCTGCTAACACTTCCCACAAACAGGTGCATCAGTATGGCAGTTTATTGCCTGCAGTCAGTCGGTGTAAATCCTTACTCATTCACTCACTCACTCATGTTTAGCTCTGTGGTCCTCTGGCTACAGCGATGTATATGTAACCATGGTAACAGGGATACAGGAATAAAAATATCAATAATAAAAAAAATTAATCTAGTTCCTTCTAGTGTCTGTGTAGTTTTTGGCTCTGTTCAGTTCAAACTGTAAACTGAATACTTGTCAGAAAATTGGCCTTTGTGGGTGTCAAACTTTAAAGCTTTGTATTTGTCTTTTTGTCACCCAAATATGAACGAGCTAAATGCTTGGTTCTCCATTGTGCTGTGATCATCTTCCTACATCAACAGAACACCTCAGCAGGACATCAGAAAATTTGGCCTGTGTGTAAAAATATGTTCCAAAACCATATGTTTCAAACATAATCAAACACTAACATGATGTAATTATCAAACATGTTTCTGTTTTGGGCAGGCAAGATGACCAATGGGGGGGGCCTGATGTGTGGGATGAAATTGTCTTTTTCTTTACCGCCCACTTAATTCATCTTCCGTTACCTTCCTGCACTTACTATTTCAACATTTGTACAATCATCTGTTGCCTTTTAGAGAATGGTCATTATTATAGGTCAGTGGGGTTGGCCTGAGGAACATCCTAGTTTGTGACACCTCTCCCCCATTTTTGTAACATTTTTTCATGCCCTCCCTAAATACATGTAACAATTATCCATACCCCCCTCACCTAATAAATTACCAAATTTATTGTCTTCAAATTTGTAGTTGTAGTTGGCACCCCTGTCTTTTGCTGTGTCATTTTTTCATCACAGTGCCCAACTCCACCTACTCCCCAAATCTCACTGGCCCACACCCCCTGTATGAAATGACCAGTCCCTTATGACAAATCTCACTGGCCCACACCCCTGTTTGAAATGACCGGTCCCTTATGACAAATCTCACTGGCCCACACCCCTGTTTGAAATGACCGGTCCCTTATGACAAATCTCACTGGCCCACACCCCTGTTTGAAATGACCGGTCCCTTATGACAAATCTCACTGGCCCACACCCCTGTTTGAAATGACCGGTCCCTTATGACAAATCTCACTGGCCCACACCCGTTTGAAATGAACGGTCCCTTATGACAAATCTCACTGGCCCACACCCGCCGTATGAAAAGACAAGTCCCTTATGACAAATCTTAATCCTGGTTTCATTCATTGGGCTGACATTCCTTAAATGTGATAAAGGGTATTTTTACTTTTAGAACAAGTTTATGTTCCTTATTTCTCTGAAAAGAGCTAAAGTTGTTTGACGTTGTACCCATGTTGGGAATTGAACCCAGCAGGATGTGCCAACGCTTGTACCACAAGACTACCCTTCTGCCGCTCAAACACGGTTGGATTGAAATCTGGTATATTCAGGACCATGAAGAGGGTATTTGACATATTTAATGGGTAATCACTTCCGCTTCAAAGGGATAGTACAAACTTTATAAGCAAGGAATTAAACTGTAGTCAGCATTGTATTCCTGCTTGTGAAACTTGGCCCCAAAGATTTGGCTTTTCCCCATGTTTGAGTGCCAAGGACATGTTTGGAATAATAATGGCATGGTTACAATAAATTGATTGGATGGTCAGGCTCAGTGATATTGTTGTTGGGCCATTATTCTATTTTTGGGGGTTGGATCACAGATCCACTGACCCTATTTTTAAAAAAATTGGAGAAGAAAAAATAATATAAATTTACACTTATTTTCTTCCGCCATCATGTCATACACTCGAAATAATTTTGAGGTAACTCAGTGTAATCAATAAAACTTATGATCCTCTATTTGACATTAATATTTTATCAAATCGTTCCGTCGACGAGTTGTAGCGAAATACCTTGCATAATAGATCTAGAGTTATGCCCCTTTTTCCTTGCCTTCCCAAATTTAAATCCCATTGTATTCCGAGAAACAACAACAAAAACATAGCTTCCAGCACATAATGGGGCTATAGATGGCAAAATTCATTTATTTTTTTCCTTCCTAGAAGTGATATTTACGAAAAAACATCTGTGATTCCAGTTTAAAAAAGAACATGCTGATGTCAGTTTAATAAATTAAAATCTTCCCTCCTCCCACTTCTAACACTGACAGATTACTAACCTGTCATTCTTTTCATCCTAGGAATAGGGGCTGCAGAAAACAATGGAAACACAGTACTCGGTGCAGTTCTTTGCCTCCTTTGTGGAGCAGCTTCAGGACGTGTGTCGCAACTACCTCCACTTCAGTCAGTTTGTGGAGGTCAGTGGCTATGTGTGTGTGGAGATTGACAACATGAAGAAGGAGAGATATGTCCTCAGTGAACTGCTACAGAGCAGTGGTAATGTGGTCAGTGAGAGCTACTGTACAAAGGCGTTCAAAACGAACAGGAACATCGGAAATCCAAGGGGTCGCTTTGGAGAAAGAGCTTTGAATATTGAACAAAATACTGGAGAGAGTCACTTGGGGTTTGGGAGAAATAAGCAGACTATACAACATCCTGGTCACATTCCACACGCCCTTAAAAGACAAGATGTGGTTCAGACGAGTCGCTATCAACAGGAGTCGTCACCTGGTCCTCCAAGGCAACAACACTCCAGCTCCAGTCATGATACCATTGAGTCCTTTGATGGAAGTCGCTATCAGCAGGAGTCGTCACCTGGTCCTCCAAGGCAACAACACTCAAGTCATGATACCATTGAGTCCTTTGATGGGAGTTGGGTTGTCAACCAGTTGACGGAAGAAAGAGTGACCCTGCCACAAATGTTAAGTCAGGATGACTCTGAACCCTCAACATCTGCAGCCCCATCGTCTGCAGTCTCATCAACTCCATCAAATCAGCTGCTTCATCTGCCTCAGGATGATGAGGTCATTGATTTGGACTTGTTTGATGATGACCTTGATGTTGCGATGGAGGAGGAGGGCTCAAGGAATGTTTTCTATTCCGGACTGACATTTGCTTCCTCACCGTCTACACCAGTGGACAGTTTTCAGAGGAAGCGTGGTCACTTGAGCCCAGCTTCTCTTGCCACCATGCGATACACCGTGAAGCAGTTCCAAAGGTTCTTGTTTCATAAGTGTAACCAGAACATAGACTTGTTTTCCACCACTCCCGAAAGACTAAATGAACTTCTGCTGGACTTCTTTAGGGAGGCGAAGAAGGTACATGGTGGAGAGTATCTACGTCCTCGGTCACTGAAGAATGTCCAGACGTGTCTTGATAAGTTACTCAAAGATGGTGGCTATCCATATTCTGTGTTGAGAGACAAACAGTTTCAGTCGTCAAGGGAGTACTTGAAGAAGAAACTGAACGAGAGTACTGCTAATGCAAGTGGGGCCAATACTGTGACAGAAGAGGATATCGAGACACTGTTCCAGACCCAACTGCTTGGTTCGCACAATCCTGAATCTCTCACCAACACCATGTGGTTCCTCAACTCCAAGTTCTTCATCCTCAAACATCCCCTGGAGCATCAGAACTTGAAGTGGGGAGACATTAGTCTCAGGATGGATGACAAGGGTCAGGAATACCTGGAACGCTTAGTTGGAGGGAGATACACTCTCAAGGTGTTCTCCAAGCCAGCCAGCCCCAACAGGTGCTTTGTTAACTTCTACAAACAGTACAGAGCACTGAGGCCGAAGATCACCTTGGAGGATGAATACAACTTTTACCTGAGGGTTGATGATAGTAGTGATCAGAGCTGTTGGTTCATGCCTGAACCCATACGCCCAGTGACACTTACCTGCATGTGGAAGAAAATAGTTCTCACGGCTCGTCTTCCTGGTAATAAGAGAATTGTGTGATTCTGAATTGGATGGGATGACTGATGGTTCTCTTTGTTCTTCTGAGGAAAAGTCAAAATTATTTTTTGGTAGGAAGTGTAACACTTGCGGTGGTAAAGGTGAACTGTTCTGTTCTGTTTTCTTCTTGAAGTTCCTGTCATACAAGTGAAATCAATCTCGTTAAGGTCAAATCTTTTGCTCCATTATGATACCTGTCTGCTGGAGTTCTTACACCGCCTCAATCGGAGGTCGCGTCAGGTGAACTTTCTGATCAGCCAATGTGTGTCAAGACCACTAACTTCATGAGGGGATTGGGCAAATAATTCACACTTGCAAATTTGATTGCTGTATCTCGAAAACAAAGTCAAACAACTAGTTCCAAATGTCATGATTATATTGTTGTTGATATTTTATAAACCCAGTCATTTCTGAATGCCATGGCATGTACACCCAAAAGGGATTCCAAATATAGAAAATATTTGTGTTCTGTGTGAGTTTTCTTTAAAGGCTAAAACAAATAATAGTCTTGGTTCTCAGGCATCGCCCAGTCATCATTGAGTTTGCTGCACGTTTCGTTTTTATTTCCATTTTTTTTTAAAATAAAAAAATTCCTTAAATATTCCTAGTCCAACAGTAGTCAAATACTGTATTCCAGTATTTTACTCATCAAGGAATACATTTATGAAAGGAGGCCTATTCCCAGGTTGGTCATACACAACAGTTTATTTGGTTACATACCGGTACTAGTTTGGACAACCACTATATTTTCAAAAACCAGTGCTTGAGAACCAATTCTTTTATATATTTTTTAGCCTAAAACTGAAATATTCAAATTTCGGTGGTAAAGAAATGAAGCCATATCATTTATGAAAGCTGATACCTGATTGGCTCATACGTCCTTCACTTCGATTGGGTGTCACAGTTTGCTCAAGGGGTGCTCATGGTAGGTCCTGCTAAAGTGGTGTCCTCGGATCTTCATGCAGAGAATATAACATCTGACATTAAATGCACATTTAAAGACAATATAAATTGATGGTCGATCCATACATTATGTTGTGATATTGACACCCTGCTTGTCTTGAGCCAGTCTAACTTGATATGTTTTCAATGGTTGAGTTAACAAGGCTTCCACTACATACATGATGATACATACTATACAAAACAAGTTAAAGATAACCCACAATTGGAAGGCTGTGTGTTGCAATATCCACCAGCCATGACACATTAACTATTGCCAGATGAAAAAAACGGTTCTTTCATTCCTTTTAGTAGTATATGACAGAGGCATGAAGATAGGGTCGCAATGTTATCATGATGATATGCATTGCATGAATGGGTCACAATAAGGTAATTTGTAAGATAACAGCTTCTGACTTTCAACATATTGACATCAAGCCAACATGAATCTACAGAGTACAAACTTTCTGAGGCATTTATTTCATGGACTGTCTGAAGAAACCATACACAAGTTATATTTAGTAAGGATAAGAATTTATGAAGAACAACTTTTTATAATTAAGAGCGACGTTTAGGTGTAGGTTCTAACACCGTTATCAAGCAAGTTGCTCTTATCAAACATCGCTCTTAATTGTAAAAAGAAGTTGTTCATCCATAAATTCTTATCCTTACTTAGTACTCCAACTTCTAAATGCCTATCAAAGAAGTTACAAGTTATATTTGTCGTTAGAGGTTGAGCAGACATTGTTAAAATGTTGATGAAACTAACACTTAATAATGATAATCATGATAATAGTAACAGGGAAATTATATACCTCTTCTATCCTGCTGCCTTTTTTGTGAACAGATCTGTAATTACACACATGAAAATATAGACTGTCATGTGAATTTTCAGTATGGGGCGCATAAAATGATTGATCTTGAAGGCCAGGTGCCGCCTGTTGGAGTCGGTGTAATATGACGAATACAGTGTTGGACAGTATGGCTTGTACCAGTTACTGCTTCTATAGGACAGTTTACCGAGGATTTTTGAAAGGAGAAAGGTTGTATTTATCTATGTCTTATTTATAAACACCAATGATAAATGTTTATTGATGAACACCAGGGAAAATGTTTTATTGATAAAAACCAGGGAGAAATGTTTTATTGATAAAAACCAGGGAGAAACGTTTTTGATAAACATCATTGAAAAATGTGTTTGTAAACTTAATGGAGAATGTTTTATTGATGACAAGGAGAAGTGTTTTATTGATGGATATGGAGAAGTGTTGTATTGATGGATATGGAGAAGTGTTTTATTGATAAATGTGGAGATGTGTTTTATTGAAAAAAATGGAGAAAGTGTTTTATTGATTGACATGGAGTAGTGTTTTATTGATAGACATGTAGAAGTGTTTTTATGGGTCTTTGTAAACATGATGTAGAAATGGGTTTTTAGATATTATCTGTGCACACATTGAGGACAAATGTGTTATTGATCTGTGTCCAGTTTAAGAAGAAGATTTAATCAACCTGTACACAGGAACACACCAGAATAGCTACTTTATTACTGAATCAGCATGTAGTGTTCAGTATCTTAGCTTTACAGTTTTAAACCCATGCTTGCTGTAAAAGGCAACTATGCTTGTCGTTAGAGGCAACTAACAGTATCAGGTGGTCAGGCTCGCTTGACTTGATGCATGTCATTGTATCCCAATTGCATGGATCGATGCTCTTGATGTCAGTCACTGGATTGTCTGGTCCAGACTCGATTATTTCCAGACCGCCGTCATATAGCTGGAATATTGCTGAGTGCGGCGTTAAACAACAAACAAACCAACCAACCAACTATAGAGTTTTATGTGGACGTGTATATGCTATAAAATATTTAAAGAAAGAAATGATATTTTGTTTTTGTTGGTTTTGAATGTTGATGGAGAGAGTTATATGAAAAGTGTTGTTGAATCAAATATAAGGACTGTTACCATAGTAACAGAATGATGGTACACTGAACTATTCAAACAAATAGGGATGCGATGCTGCATTCTACATAAATAGAAAACTTACCAATTTTGAACTTATTGCCCAGTGGTCTAATGTGTTACACTGGTGGCCCAGTGGTCTAATGTGTTACATGGGTGGCCCAGTGGTCTAATGTGTTACACAGGTGGCCCAGTCGTCTAATGTGTTACACAGGTGGCCCAGTGGTCTAATGTGTTACATGGGTGGCCCAGTCGTCTAATGTGTTACACAGGTGGCCCAGTCGTCTAATGTGTTACACAGGTGGCCCAGTGGTCTAATGTGTTACACTGGTGGCCCAGTGGTCTAATGTGTTACACAGGTGGCCCAGTGGTCTAATGTGTTACACAGGTGGCCCAGTGGTCTAATGTGTTACACGGGTGGCCCAGTGGTCTAAAGTGTTACACAGGTGGCCCAGTGGTCTAATGTGTTACACAGGTGGCCCAGTGGTCTAATGTGTTACACAGGTGGCCCAGTGGTCTAATGTGTTACATGGGTGGCCCAGTCGTCTAATGTGTTACACAGGTGGCCCAGTGGTCTAATGTGTTACACAGGTGGCCCAGTGGTCTAATGTGTTACATGGGTGGCCCAGTCGTCTAATGTGTTACACAGGTGGCCCAGTCGTCTAATGTGTTACACAGGTGGCCCAGCGGTCTAATGTGTTACACTGGTGGCCCAGTGGTCTAATGTGTTACACAGGTGGCCCAGTGGTCTAATGTGTTACACGGGTGGCCCAGTGGTCTAATGTGTTACACTGGTGGCCCAGTGGTCTAATGTGTTACACAGGTGGCCCAGTAGTCTAATGTGTTACACAGGTGGCCCAGTGGTCTAATGTGTTACATGGGTGGCCCAGTCGTCTAATGTGTTACACAGGTGGCCCAGTGGTCTAATGTGTTACACAGGTGGCCCAGTGGTCTAATGTGTTACACGGGTGGCCCAGTGGTCTAAAGTGTTACACAGGTGGCCCAGTGGTCTCATGTGTTACACAGGTGGCCCAGTGGTCTAATGTGTTACACAGGTGGCCCAGTGGTCTAATGTGTTACATGGGTGGCCCAGTCGTCTTATGTGTTACACAGGTGGCCCAGTCGTCTAATGTGTTACATGGTTGGCCCAGTCGTCTAATGTGTTACATGGTTGGCCCAGTCGTCTAATGTGTTACATGGGTGGCCCAGTCGCCTAATGTGTTACATGGGTGGCCCAGTCGCCTAATGTGTTACATGGGTGAAGTGTTACAATTTCTCATGCCTCATTGCAAATCCCATAGGTGATTAATTATTTTTAGTTGGTGTAGGTGGTTGAAATAAATTTTTAACAAAAATCTCTTTTTAGATAGAAGGCTCGCTAAACACAATGGCTATTATCCTAATGCAGGATATTTACCATCCCCAAACACACTCGCGTGATAACCTCTATTTATATATTCTTTTCTTTTTCCACTTTCAAATGACCTGCAACGTTGTGAATAAAATTAGTTTCTTTCTTCCTAGGAAGACGATCTTTAGGTTAACAATGGAAAAGCAGTACTCAGTGGAGTTCTTTGCCTCCTTTGTAGAGCAGCTTCAGGACGTGTGTCGCAACTACCTCCACTTCAGTCAGTTTGTGGAGGTCAGTGGCTATGTGTGTGTGGAGATTGACAACATGAAGAAGGAGAGATACGTCCTCAGTGAACTGCTACAGAGCAGTGGTAATGTGGTCAGTGAGAGCTACTGTACCAAATCGTTCAAAACTTCAGGGAACAGGTCTGGCTCCTGGATAAGTTCAAATCAAGGCAGGAAAGAAAGAGGCAACTTGAGGTCTGATAAAAATAAAGAAAACATAAATGAGGAAGATGATTACAATCCCTTCGCCTCACCAACCCTGACTGGTGAACCATACACGACATCAGAAACGCACACTGATGTGGAAGGAGAGGAAGAACGGGTGACGATTCCTCCAAGCCACAAGCAGCATTTCAGGACACCATCAAACTCCCAGTCTGTGTCCTTTGTGTCCAGGAGTGCTTCTTCTACAACTACCAGACCTGCATCAGTAGTACTAGCCCAAGAGGAAGACGAGGTCATTGATCTGGACTTGATAGAGGATGACCTTGACCTTGCTATGGAGGAAGACAGCTCTCCAGGGGCGTTTGAAGCAACTGCTTCGCATCAGCTCTCAATCCCAGACATGCAGGCAAAGGGCAGCTTGAGTCCTGGAACATTGTCGACAGTGAGGAACTCGGTGAAGCAGTTCCGGAGGTTCCACTTCGACAGATCTGGTGGTGATGTTGACCTGTTCTCTTCGGCCCCGGAGGATCTCAATGAACTTCTTCTGGCCTACTTCAGAGAGGCCAAGAAGAGATGTGGTGGAGCGCTAACTGCTTGTACACTGAAGAACGTTCAGAAGCATCTGGACATGTATTTGCGAGATGGAGGCTATCCCCACTCGATTGTCAAGGACAGGCCGTTCCAGTCCTCCAGGGACTTCCTGAAGAAGAAGCTGAATGAAGGGAGAAAGGTTGTTGCCCAGAAACACTCTCCAGTCAATGATGAGGACATGGAGATCATGTTCCAAGCTGGCCAGCTGGGAATTCAGAGTCCTGAAAGTCTCATTCATACACTGTGGTTTCTCAATTCAAAATATTTTGGCATCAGGCGCCCAGCTGAACATTTTAACATGAAATGGGGAGATATTCGACTGAGTGTCAATGAGGAGGGTCTGGAATATATTGAAAGACCTATTCATGCATCGTTTTCTTTGAAAGTACTAGCCAAGCCCCATTCCCCAAACAGGTGCTTTGTGAATTTCTACAAGCAGTATCAACAGATGAGACCCAAGCTGGCATTAGATGAGGGGTCTGCTTTCTATCTGAAGCCCAATAAGAACTCCAACATATGGTTCACGTCCGAGACAGTGATATATTCTTACTTCACAAACCTGTGGAGGAAACTTGTCGTTAATGCTGGGTTGTCCATTGACAAGAAAATATTTTAATGTCTGTGTGTGCTGCAATCTTGGGCTTGAAAATATTAAATGGTTTTCGAAGCCAAAACACAAACTGGCTTTTTCCCTGCTGTTGAATGCTTGTCTAGATTTGAAAAATGTGCTATTCCACATAAACGTCACATCTATGCAAATTAATTTGATTGACCTTTATCGAAAATAGTTTGATTTAGTTCTTTTCTCTGTATTTTACAAACCAGTTGGGTTAAATTAGGAATAGACTACATAATCAACATCTTGGTTTTGTTTACAATCACAATGTAATCATAAACTAATTTCACCATGGTAACATGTGGAATAAAAACATTTCAAGATATATTTGGTCGTTTATGTGATGAATTATGACTTTTCATGGTATTTATGTATGCCAAAATAATTGTCTGTACTAAATACAATTCTGACATACATTGTACTTCCTTTCTTCAAGGGGGGCATGTATAGCCCAATTTGCTGTGCAGAGTTGCATCCCTTGGGCACACTATGAACCAATGACTGTGACTTTGAATCCTGGTTCGCCCTGGATATGTTTCTAGGTCTGTCAGTACTGGAATACTGTTCAAAGCGGTTAAAACATCCAACTCACTCACACCATTCTTTTAACCCTTTGGGATTCTGAATAAGAATTTAGGTCCCCAGCAAGCTATACTTGTCGTAAGAAGCAACTAAATAGATTGGGTGGTCAGACTCAGTGACTTGGTTGATAGCGTGTCATGACTGTCATCGTATCCCGATTGTGTCGATTGTTGGTTGGTTTGTTGTTTAACACGGCACTCAGCAATATTCCAGCTATATGACTGCGGTCTGTAAATAATCGAGTCTAAACCAGACAATCCAGTGATTGAGATCATGAGCATCGATCCACGCAATTGGGATCGATGACATGCATCAACCAAGGAAATGAGCCTGACAAGCCGATCCTGTTAGTCGCCTCTTACGACAAGCATAGTCGCCTAGTAGGCAAGCATGGGTTGCTGAAGACCTATTCTAACCAGGATTTTCACGGGTCTTGTGTGGATTGATGCTCATTATGTCAATCACTGGATTGTCTGGTCCAGACTCGATTATTGACAGACCGCCATAAATGGAATATTGATGAGTGCACCATTGTGCACAAAATCCAACAAAAACAACATATACAATGGACCCTAACTCCTTTACACAGGAAAAGTTAAGACCTTAATTGCAACTCAAACTGAACATTCGTTGACTTTACAGTGGTTTAACCCAAGAGAGACACGTGATCAGCATTGTACCTTAAGATAATGGGGGGCACGGGTGGTCCAGTCGTCTAAGGCGTCGCGATTCGTTGTGCAGAGTTGCGACCCTTGGGCACTCCAGAAACCTATGAGTGTGGGTTCGAATCCCGGTTTGACCCGATTATGTTTCTAGGTTTGTCAGCACCATACCCGTGCTCGTGGGTTTCACCGAAGTGGTAAATGTCTGAGACCTGCATCACTTAGGGCTTTCCTCCCACATTAAGCTGACACGCCGCGATATAACTGGAATAATGTTAAAAGTTGCGTTTAACCCAACTCACTCACTCACTCACCTTAAGATAACGTGTCAAAGACCCAAGTTAACCTTTTTCAGGTGTGTATTGCCACCAGGTATGCACTTGAAGTGCTTCTAATTGGAATGAGTAAAACAACACTACAGTCAGCAGTGTTCCGGCTATGTAATGGACTATTTGAGTCAGGGTCAGGCAAACCATTATTGTGGCAAGCATGATCCACCTTGTGGGGAACGATGATCCACCTGGTGGGGAACGATGATGCACCTGGTGGGGAACGATGATGCACCTTGTGGGGAACGATGATCCACCTCGTGGGGAACGATGATCCACCTTGTGGGGAACGATGATGCACCTGGTGGGGAACGATGATGCACCTGGTGGGGAACGTTGATGCACCTTGTGGGGAACGATGATGCACCTTGTGGGGAACGATGATGCACCTTGTGGGGAACGATGATGCACCTGGTGGGGAACGATGATGCACGTTGTGGGGAACGATGATGCACGTTGTGGGGAACGATGATGCACGTTGTGGGGAACGATGATGCACCTTGTGGGGAACGATGATGCACCTTGTGGGGAGAGATGATGCACCTTGTGGGGAACGATGATGCACCTTGTGGGGAACGATGATGCACCTTGTGGGGAGAGATGATGCACCTGGTGGGGAACGATGATGCACCTGGTGGGGAACGATGATGCACCTGGTGGGGAACGATGATGCACCTGGTGGGGAACGATGATGCACCATCAGCCTAACTCAGTAACTGCACAGTCGTCTCACAGATCCACATTTTTGTCGTCTCGTTCAACAAGCATGAAGTGCCTTTTCAGAACCAGACTCCCTGGTCAACAATAGGAAGAAACACAATTCAAAGTGAGACTTGCACATCATACTACAATCTTGTTTTATTTTAACAGACTGACAAATCAATATTGCATCACCATATTCACACCCCGGCCCTATAACGTCCAACTTGATGATGTCAAAGATAAACATGTGTTACCTGACTCTGATTATTCATTAATGCAACTTATACACACATGCTTATGTCATTTAACAGTCGCCTCTTTCTATATATTTAGTTTTAAATACCATTTGCAAAGTGAGCAGACGACAATAGACGCTAAGCCACGCCCATTGTTTCCCGCTTGCCCCATTACTCATATTTCCCACCCGACTCTTATTCACTTTCAGAAACCTCACGGCCCCGTGAAAATTTAGCTAACGCGATTTTTACAAATTTCTCCGAAGGCCCACATCCAGATAAATGCGAGTAAGTACCCTGAAACACGCTTCCTGTCATGGTCCACAAAATCCATATGCCCCTTCCAACATCCTTAAATTTTCAATTAAGGGGAATAAAATAGAAGGGGCATAACTCTTGGATTTGCCTGGTAAACTATTATCTTGCAGACTTATTGTCAAACACTACTTGAAATTCATTTCGAAATGACAACACGTGTTTCCAAATTATGATATAAAGTACGCAGTTGACACGTGCATACACCAGCCATATATTAGTATTTGATGTAGGCCCTTGTAAAGTGTACGTGTTGTGTTGAGAACTCCTCAACCGATGTGTGCAACTTTTATCTGACGTGCCGTTAGAACCGTGGAGATCCGGGTAAGAATAGGTCTTCAGCAAACCAATGCTTGCTGTAAATGGCAACTATGCTTGTAAAAGACGACTAACGGGATCGGGTGGTCAAGCTCGCTGACTTGGTTGATGCATGTCATCGAATCCCAATTGAGTGGATCGATGCTCATGATGTCAATCAATGGATTGTCTGGTCCAGGCTCGATTTAATTACAGGCCGCCGTCATGGAGATGGAATATTACTGTGTGCGGCGATAAACAACAAACAAACAAACACAATAATTGGTAATGTGACTTCTTAAAAAGAACATTCTTACTCGCAAAAAACAGGTGCGAAAATCATCCAAGCACCTAACTAACTAACAAAAGTTGTTGTTGTTAGTGACAGAGATTTACGGGCGCAGTGGGTTGGACGTTATGCTTATCACAACCATCTTGGTATTTTGGCTTCGTCTCAAGCTTTGTGATGGACAGAAGGAGAAAAACAGAAACTGGGATTTCTATAATGTTCCACGTCGCTGCACAAATTTCACGCATTATATTAATATCTTGTCAATAAGGGATGATTTCATTAAAACAATTTACAAAAAATTACAACAAAAATATACACCTGTGTATCCATAGCTAGCACTATATTACCCCAAAATGACTGACGTTCATTTCTTCATATGTTTTAACTGCTGGGCACGCTAAAACTAGACACGGAGAGCACGTTTGGCACGAATATGAATATAATGACATATATTAACAGACACTGACAGGTACAGTTATATGTCTGTAAGCTGGCTATTTCATAAGAAGTCTGGCGATGAGATTGAGATTTATTGCTGAAATGCTTTACCCCGTTTTGCCATAAACGTTTTGTTGCTTTGTATCATTTGTAGACGTTCACTTGTTAATTAGGTTTGCGATTGGGGACAGGCTCCGAGGTCTTGTGCATAGAGTCCGGAAAGCGGAAAGACGGTGGTTCGATTGAAACTGAGACTTTCTGTGGTAATGTGGTGTGATGGTATTATGGTGAGATTGAATCAAACCTGCGCTTAATATATGCCTTACAAATGTAATTTACCTTACAATAATGCGATTTTGTACATTTTTACAGTCAAGAGGATTTATTTAGAAATACAAATTATCTATGTCATCGTATCCTAATTGCGTAGATCGATGCTCAGGATGTCAGTCACTGGGTCATATGGTCCTGACTCGATTATTTACAGCCCGCCGTCATATGGCTGGAATATGGTTGAGTGTGGCGTTACACAAACACACAAGCATAAAAACTAATTTTCAAGGATGAGGTAGCTTAATTTAACAGAAGCCAAATGTAATATTAAAATTATGAAATAATATTTATATATCCGATAATAAATAAACTATGATGCAACATGTGCCTAAAACTGTTACACATTCTAACAGACGAAACAAGGACAACCACAGACATATCTTGTCTCGACGTTATAACATTGTGTACTTCCGCTTCTGCATAAATGAAGTGATAACGTCAGATATACCATTAGTATGGTGATAAAAAGAGAGATATAAAACACTCTTTCTTTGTCGTAATTTCATGGTCTCGAAAGAGTACCGTTAAATCAAATCTTGCCTTTAGCTAGTTGTCGTCTAGTAGCATGAAAACCGGCATATTATTCCCCGTTCCGTTACTCTTTTGTGTGGAGGACTGCTGAAAAGAATTTGACGAAAATGGGGGAATGCGGAGTATTCTCACGTTTAAAACCACCAAAGCATAATATTGCTCATGTAAGACCTAGTTTTGCAGTATGTTTACGTGTATATTGCTTAGTCTGTTGAGGTATAATGTCTTTTTGACGTGCATTTTTGTTAATTTTACAAGCTTTCGATTTGTTGACCCGAACGATTTTTGCAAGTGCCCGTGTGCTGATCGACTTTGTTTTCATAACTAGCTGGAATCATATTGATCTTATCAGATGGTTCTTTTTACTAAAAACGTATACTAGACGTTTAATAGATCACCCACAAAGTTTATTATATCAGCGCCAATTTTGTCAAATCGTTCATGCCTGGGCAATTGAGTCTCGGACCAGTTGTCTCCCTTCGTATATTAAATGAGGGCGCGAAGTGACTGAACCAGGATGAGAATGTAGACACAAGATACTCTATGTATTTAGACATAGCAATTTCTACCAATGTACTTGAAAAGAGCCAAAGATTTCCTTGGTTGTTCATTTGACATTACACTAACATATAGTCCTGAAACAAACATGGTAAGTGAGGTATATATGGTTAAATAAACATTATTTTGTGAAGAAACCCTAAGTATGTGGGGACCTTCCAAGTATCTTAAGCTGGAAAAGATTTAAGGAGGTGCTGTCAATCATATTCACAATGAGCAGTGATGTTTATGCAATTTATCAAATTTGTGTGTTTACTTTATCATTTTCATGATCATGATGATCTCATAAAAAATATGAATGTAAAATATAATTAGAATCAGTGTCCCCATTCTAGAGACTCTTACAGTGTCACCAATGCATGATTAATTCTTATGTTTTTGACAAATCAAGTTTAGGTGCACATTTCACTTTCTTTCCCCATAGGAATCAATTTTTTATAATATTCCCAAAAGTGCATATTGTGTCAGTGTTAATAATTATCAGAGGCCCTTGTGATTTTAAATGTATAGTGTTTGAATTGTATGCATATTATTATTTGTTAGTTCTTTGATTTAATCATCACATAAGGCCACAATGAATTAATTTGTAGATTTTCATCCACATTTTTTATAAAAACATAGGCCAGAGTTGTATTGTTCAAGACATCCATGTCCCTAAACATGCTTAACTTAATTGGAAGTGAATCCAAGCATAAACATTGATAAATGTTGATTGTCTTCAAGTAATTAAAGTGGGGATTACAGGTAGAATTTTTCTTTGAAGGTAAAATGATGTGAGGGGCATGGGGGAACAGAATGTATTTTTTTAATTTTTAATTTTTTTATTTTTGTTATGGGATTTTCATGGTTAAGACAAGAGCCCCTCCATGCTTTACTTCACACACGGCCTCATGTTGTGGTACTGATTGTTATTTGACAACAGGTTTATGTATTGTGTGAGGTAGCCTAGTGGTTAAAGCATTCATTCGGCACACCGAAGACCTGGGTTCGATTGCCCATATGGGTACAATGTGTGAATCCCATTTCTGGTGTCCACTGCTGTGATATTGCTGGAATATTGCTAAAAGCGGCGTAAAACCATACTCACACTATGTAGTGTGTGAGTCCATTAGCTTGTGCTATGCAAACAGGATGGGAACACCATGAACACATGACCTTTTTTCTGATCAAATTCTGACTGGACTTCTTTCGTAATTCCTGTTCACAATATGCAAACAGGATGATCTGGTGTCGATCGCCCGGAATACCTGTAGATTTCTCTGTGTGACTTTATTATCTGAAAATGAAAGCAGACACAAACACTCAAAAATGCAAACAGCAAAATCTAAGCATGTATGTTAGAGAGTATGTTTTTATGCTGTTTCTAGCAATATAATGGCAGGGGACGCCACAAATAGGCTTTACACATTGTACCCGTGTGGAAAATCAAACCCAGGTCTTCGGGGTGACAAGTGGACGCTTTAACCACTAGGCTACCCTACCCACCCGTATGTTCATGACGGAGCTACATTTATTTATTTAGAATTTATTTAATATAGCATCCACAATATCTCATGAAGATCCCATGCTTGTCGTAAAAGGCGGCTATGTTTGTCATTAGAGGCGACCGAGGGGATCGGTGGTCAGGCTTGCTGACTTGGTTGATGTATGTCATTGTATCCTAATTGTGTGGATCAATGTTCACATTATCAATCACTGGATTGTCTGGTCCAGACTTGATTATGGACAGGCTGCTGTCATGTAGCTGGAATCGTTGAGAGCGGGGTTAAAGAACAAACAAACCATATACTCTGACAACTTTATCATAACCTGTAGATCAAGAGGGACAATGTGATGTGAACATGGTGAAGGTTGTGGTTCTTATGTTTTGACAGGTCAACTGCAACAGTATCAAGTTTTGGAAGTTGGGAGAAACACTCCCAGAAAAAAAATATTTGTACATTTGAAAATTATGGGAATAAGCATTGATTCTCTCAATTTCAGAGTGACCTTTGACACCCGTAAGAGCACAGAGTGACTAGACGATGTGAGAACAATGAACGACGACACAACCACTCGGTTCATCGCTTCCCTTGTGAAATCTCTGCAGTCCTTGTGTCATGGATATGTGGAGTTTGAAAAGAACATTGAGATTATCGGACACATCTATCTCAATATTGACAGCCAACAGAAATATGACTATGTTGTTAATGAACAAGTGTGCAAGAATGAGGACGAGTCCCAAGCAATGTTTGTCAGCAATAGCTTCCACGCCCAGCCAGCTAGGACCACGGTGAGGACATCGAGGCAGTGCAATGCTCTTGACCTCAAGATCCAGTCTGCCAAAGACACTATAGGTATCGACCTTTCCACATTCCAGACCGATGTAGGTCAAGGTCGTTCCGCATCTCGAGAGAGTTCACAGTCGCTCTCTGCAGGATCGGAAACAGGTTCGGTATCTGGAAATGTTCCAAATCGTGAGCCAGGTACCTCCCCTTCCCTCCACTGTCAAAACCCCGAACGGTCCGTTTCAAGGCGGAAACGACATTTACATGACCTCTCCTCCAAACCCTCTCCTGACGTCTCCCCACCTAGTCGAAGCCGAGACGGGGAGAGGCGTGACCACCATGACAGTCCTTCGTTACGTTCGCAATATACTCTTGGTGCTTCTGCCTCCAAGCTGGCCCGGAGGATAAGTAATGAACTCGAGAAGCAGGGATTGGCTACCCCAGCTCAGACTGATAATGACGTTGAAATCCACACTCGATTATCTGGGTCAAACGAGACTCCATCTCGTTTTGGTCGCAATGGCCAAGGTGCATCTCAGAGACAGTTTTCAGATGATTCGTCCAAACATATAGACTCTATAAAGGATCCCCCTGAGAAGAGTGAGGGGCAGTCGTTAGCAGACAGTATTGATCTAAGCCGAGTGAAAGAGGAAGTGATTGAGGATGAGAGCCTGTTCGATCAGCTTGACTGGAACCGAGCTGCTCGCGACGCAGACCAAGAGACATGTAAGTATTCATGTGCCTGAATAATATTAACATATAGCATCTTTGGTCTGACCGTGTGTCTTGATGACTAATATGAGTGGAATTCAGGGTCTGCCAATTTTGGTCAATAGGATGTAAAATAAAATGAACATAATTGCCAAACGATTCTTAAGTTAAAGATAACTACGGTCCACATTTCCTTAATACTGATCCTACTGATACACAGTTGAAACAAAGTGTAAAGCTAAGAACAAAGAAGCATGATTGTTGATAATTTTGAGAATTGTTCCTGATTTGATATGTCCCATTTGTAGACGACCCTCAGGCAGAGGGGCACGAGGCCTCGGAAGATCAGATCGTGGCCGAAAACCTGGCGGCAGCAGCATCCTCATCCCTCTATCCAGTCATGATCCACCAGAACACTGCCGGTCTGCCCATGCCTGGCTACGGATCCCCCGTGTTTCCACAGAACTTCAATGAACCCACCCACACAATGTCCGCCAGTTCCTCCCCCATTGCTTCCACTAGCGGCCAGCTCAGTCCGGGGGCCGTCTTCGGGGCACGGCGGACGCAGCCAGGAAACTCTGGACGAGGTAGGGTCTTCTTTTCATAACAAAACTTGACCGCTGATTGGATTATGCATAGAAGAGAGGAACTCTTATGTTGTGTCCACCTGTAGGTGGTTGTACAATTGTACTGCTGTCATCTGGTTGTAAAATTGTACTGCTGCCACCTGTATGTGGTTGTACGATTGTACTGCTGTCATCTGGTTGTACAATTGTACTGCTGCCAGCTGGTTGTATGATTGTACTGCTGCCACCTGTATGGGTTGTACGATTGTACTGCTGTCACTTGTAGGTGGTTGTACGATACTACTGTTGCCAGCTGGTTGTACGATTGTGCTGCTGCCACTTGGTTCTATGATTGTACTGCTACCACCTGTATGTGGTTGTACGATTGTACTGCTGCCACCTGTATGTGGTTGTACGATTGTGCTGCTGCTACCTGTATGTGGTTGTATGATTGTACTGCTACCACCTGTAGGTGGTTGTACGGTTGTACTGCTGCCACCTGTATGTGGTTGTACGATTATACTGTTGCCAGCTGGTTGTACAATTGTACTGCTGCCACCCGTATGTGGTTGTACGATTGTACTGCTGCCACCTGTATGTGGTTGTACGATTGTACTGCTGCCACCCGTATGTGGTTGTACGATTGTACTGCTGCCACCCGTATGTGGTTGTACGATTGTACTGCTGCCACCCGTATGTGGTTGTACGATTGTACTGCTGCCACCCGTATGTGGTTGTACGATTGTACTGCTGCCACCCGTATGTGGTTGTACGATTGTACTGCTGCCACCTGTATGTGGTTGTACGATTGTACTGCTGCCACCTGTATGTGGTTGTACGATTGTACTGCTGCCACCCGTATGTGGTTGTACGATTGTACTGCTGCCACCTGTATGTGGTTGTACGATTGTACTGCTGCCACCTGTATGTGGTTGTACGATTGTACTGCTGCCACCTGTATGTGGTTGTACGATTGTACTGCTGCCACCTGTATGTGGTTGTACGATTATACTGTTGCCAGCTGGTTGTACGATTGTACTGCTGCCACATGTATGTGGTTGTACGATTGTACTGCTACCATCTGTTGAGGTTGTACGATTGTACTGCTGCCACCTGTTGAGGTTGTACGATTGTACTGCTGCCACCTATATGTGGTTGTACGATTGTACTGCTGCCACATGTATGTGGTTGTACGATTGTACTGCTACCACCTGTATGTGGTTGTACGATTGTACTGATACCACCTGTATGGGGTTGTACGATTGTACTGCTACCACCTGTATGTGGTTGTACGATTGTACTGCTGCCACCTGTATGTGGTTGTACGATTGTACTGCTGCCACCTGTAGGTGGTTGTACGATTATACTGTTGCCAGCTGGTTGTACGATTGTACTGCTGCCACCTGTATGTGGTTGTACGATTGTACTGCTGCCACCTGTATGTGGTTGTACGATTGTACTGCTGCCACATGTATGTGGTTGTACGATTGTACTGCTGCCACATGTATGTGGTTGTACGATTGTACTGCTACCACCTGTATGTGGTTGTACGATTGTACTGCTACCACCTGTATGTGGTTGTACGATTGTACTGCTGCCACCTGTATGTGGTTGTACGACTGTACCGCTGCCACATGTATGTGGTTGTACGATTGTACTGCTACCACCTGTATGTGGTTGTACTACTGTACTGCTACCACCTGTATGGGGTTGTACGATTGTACTGCTACCACCTGTATGTGGTTGTACGATTGTACTGCTGCCACCTGTATGGGGTTGTACGATTGTACTGCTGCCACCTGTATGTGGTTGTATGGTTGTACTGCTGCCACCTGTATGTGGTTGTACGATTGTACTGCTACCACCTGTATGGGGTTGTACGATTGTACTGCTGCCACCTGTATGTGGTTGTACGATTGTACTGCTGCCACCTGTATGTGGTTGTACGATTGTACTGCTGCCACCTGTATGGGGTTGTACGATTGTACTGCAGCCACCTGTATGGGGTTGTATGGTTGTACTGCTGCCACCTGTATGTGGTTGTACGATTGTACTGCTACCACCTGTATGGGGTTTGTATGATTGTACTGCTGCCACCTGTATGTGGTTGTACTACTGTACTGCTACCACCTGTATGGGGTTGTACGATTGTACTGCTACCACCTGTATGTGGTTGTACGATTGTACTGATACCACCTGTATGGGGTTGTACGATTGTACAGCTACCACCTGTATGTGGTTGTACGATTGTACTGCTGCCACCTGTATGTGGTTGTACGATTGTACTGCTGCCACCTGTAGGTGGTTGTACGATTATACTGTTGCCAGCTGGTTGTACGATTGTACTGCTGCCACCTGTATGTGGTTGTACGATTGTACTGCTGCCACCTGTATGTGGTTGTACGATTGTACTGCTGCCACATGTATGTGGTTGTACCATTGTACTGCTGCCACATGTATGTGGTTGTACGATTGTACTGCTACCACCTGTATGTGGTTGTACGATTGTACTGCTACCACCTGTATGTGGTTGTACGATTGTACTGCTGCCACCTGTATGTGGTTGTACGACTGTACCGCTGCCACATGTATGTGGTTGTACGATTGTACTGCTACCACCTGTATGTGGTTGTACTACTGTACTGCTACCACCTGTATGGGGTTGTACGATTGTACTGCTACCACCTGTATGTGGTTGTACGATTGTACTGCTGCCACCTGTATGGGGTTGTACGATTGTACTGCTGCCACCTGTATGTGGTTGTATGGTTGTACTGCTGCCACCTGTATGTGGTTGTACGATTGTACTGCTACCACCTGTATGGGGTTGTACGATTGTACTGCTGCCACCTGTATGTGGTTGTACGATTGTACTGCTGCCACCTGTATGTGGTTGTACGATTGTACTGCTGCCACCTGTATGGGGTTGTACGATTGTACTGCTGCCACCTGTATGGGGTTGTATGGTTGTACTGCTGCCACCTGTATGTGGTTGTACGATTGTACTGCTACCACCTGTATGGGGTTTGTATGATTGTACTGCTGCCACCTGTATGTGGTTGTATGGTTGTACTGCTGCCACCTGTATGGGGTTGTACGATTGTACTGCTGCCACCTGTATGTGGTTGTATGATTGTACTGCTGCCACCTGTATGGGGTTTGTATGATTGTCTTACTGTCACCAGTAGGTGGTTGTACCATTGTCCTGCTGCCTGTATCCTATGTATGTGGTTGTACCATTGTCTTACTGCCATCTGAAAGTGGTTGTACTGTTGTGCTATTACAACCTGTATTTGGAAACTTGCAGTCAGTACTCAAGGAGCTGATGTCTGACATAGTAAGGTCGTGATCCTCTCACTTAACATCACCTCTGTATACTGTTGGCCATACAGTGTCAGCAATATTTACCCTTGATGTGTAAATGAGACGTTCAGAGTCATCTCAAGTTGCAGCCAAAAGGCTTCCGTGGACATGCTACGATTGTGCCCCTGAGAACAAGTACTGGCAAGCCAGATAGATACATACACTATACATGTGTGTTGTTAGACCATATTGATGTCTCATCTAGAGATGTCAAGATTCACTAATCATGCTAATGGAGCGATGCATCACCAGTTTGCCCTGACAATACGATACACGGTACATCTAACCTTGTAGGAACTCAAGTTTTAGTTCTTTATTGATTTTCAAAAAGTAATATATACCAGGTTTTGTAGTAACCCAGTCTGATAACTATTTGGGACAGCGGTACAGCCTGTCACATTCAAAGGGATATATCTGATTACATAAACGTATCAGAACAAACCTATATTTACTAGTCATGTGAGTTAAACACAAACTGGTTGATTGCAACAACCGCTAGATACCCAGGTCACATGGAGCAGAGAAACAGGGGAAGATGGTGCAAATTGGGTACCCGATACACATGGTATTGACTCAGGTATCGCGACATGTATCGATACGTGAGGCAAGTGTATTGTGACGCTTCAGTTATCAGCTACGTGTGTGTACCTGGTACAGACGGTATTGACTCAGGTACAGATGGTATTGCGACATGTATCGATATGTGAGGCAAGCGTATTGTGACACGCCAGTCATCAGCTACATGTGTACCTGATACAGATGGTATTGTGACATGTATCGATACGTGAGGCAAGCTAATCGTGACGCTTCAGTTATCAACTACATATGTGTACCTGATACAGATGGTATTGTGACATGTATCGATACGTGAGGCAAGCTTATCGTGACGCTTCAGTTATCAACTACATATGTGTACCTGGTACAGATGGTATTGTGACATGTATCGATATGTGAGGCAAGCGTATCGTGACACTTCAGTTATCAGCAACGTGTGTACCTGATACAGATGGTATTGTGACATGTATCGATACGTGAGGTAAGCATTTTGTGACGCTTCAGTTATCAGCAACGTCTGTACCTGGTACAGATGGTATTGTGACATGTATCGATACGTGAGGTAAGCATTTTGTGATGCTTCAGTTATCAGCAACGTGTGTACCTGGTACAGATGGCATTGTGACATGTATCGATGCGCGAGGGAAGCGTTTTGTGACATCCAATGTTGAGGGACAGACATAGCTACTGGTTTGAGGCTGGTCAAGGTCTGGGACAACCTATTCCTCGCATATCCTAGTTATTTCACAAAACGTTCTTGTCCAAAATGAGCTGTGGACAAGTTAAATTTAACTCCATGAGTATATTCCTGATAGTGAATTGAACATGTCTGGTGCTGTAATCTGCTGTGTTCCATCAGCCCATTGTTTGTGCACAGGATGTTCTTGAGGCAGTGTTGCTGTTTGTTTTGTGTCCATGATCTAGATACTGTTTCTGTTGTTTTAACGGGATGTTTTACACAGCAGAAGCAAGGATCACCACAGGTTCTTCTCACACACTTCTCCCTCATCAGAAAGTCAGTTTCAGAGAATGTTTGTCCCAGTGAACTCTCAGTATTCCTGCAGTAAGCATGAGCCATTAAAATCACGCCAAAATTCAAACAA